TTGAAAAAAAAATGTTTTAATGGGTACATCTTTTCAAAAAACATTAAGTCTTATTTTTAATGAGCTGAAAGAAATTCTACAAAACATTTTAGGAAGAAAGTATCCTTTGTACCAAACCAGATCTTCCTTTTTTTGTTCAGAGTAGATTTACATTTTCACTGCAAATTGTGTTGTGGACTGTGGAGTCAGCTACATATTCCCAACATAGATTATTTTAAACTGGAAAATCCTGCAGCCTGGAAAACCAAAGGGAGTCCCTTCTGATCACTTCATGGTTCTCACTCAAACATACTGATAAAGTTATAGACTTTGGTTAAACTCAAGGAAGCTTTAGAGTATTAGTTTCCACAGCAACAACTGGACTTAAGCCTTATTTATAACAATTTTGAGGGGACATATCTCAAATCCCCTCGGTGATGTCAATTCCAAGCAGAGAAACTGCCTCTCTGTAGTTACAGGAGGAATAAAAATACAAGTTGGATGATTGGACACAATTTTTTCTAAGGTTACCATGACCCCAATTTAGGCATGTGATTTATCTAACTTGGAAATTAAATGAAGAAAAAAGAGCAATGTTTAATTGCACTGCTGAAAGAGGTTTTACTATTTAATATCAGTCAGTGAGGAAGTAGCCTGTGGTTCATCATTAAAACAAATTAAGATCAGCAGTAATCTAATTTAGGTGTTTAAAAAAAAATCCTGTTTTTTTTTTTAAAGAAAATGAAGAACGTGGATAACGCTCCTTTCTTAGAGGTGCAGCAAACCAAATATTTTACATTTTATTTTATTGTCAGCACCTCAGACAAAAGACCTTGATGAAGAAAGAAGACACATCAACTTTATAATCAAACTCTTAATATATGTAACAGAAGGCTCTATCATGAACTCCAATGTTTGGCTTTTGTTGCTGCTAAGACAAAGGGGACACAGTATTTATCATCTATGAAATGTCCTATTTTATCATAATTTTCTATGATTGCGTCTACAGTATTGGAAGACAGAGGAAGAATATCAGTCATGCCAATGTGAACATGATTCTCATTCTATTATTCTAAGTCAATGCTTGTGCTGGTCCAACATTTTTATAAATGAGTTTTTTGCCATCTCAGTGTAAAAACTGAGCCAAAATAGATAATATTGACTTGCTAATAATGACTTTCTTATCTTACAGTCCTTCACATCATCATTATTAGTTGTTCTACTCAGAATAGAATCACAGTCTCAGGAAAGTACAACAGTGCTGATATATGTGGCTGCGTTCACCGAGCCTGAGCCTGTGAGAGAAATCTCAGGAGTCATATGAACAGTTCAGGATCAAACAGTCTGAGGCCTCAGAGCCCAAAATGGCCCACTCAACTCTGCTCTCTACATATAGTAGACTTTTATGGCTCAGCCGGCCAATTTCTCACCATGGCTGTTGAGATGGAGTCAGAGGTTCAAGAGCTTTTTTTGTCTGCAACCACTGCTGCTGGAGTGAGTCAATATGGAGGAGACCTTTGGATGGGTTTTGTAGACCTCAATTGCTGCAGGAGAACAACTAAACATTGGAGGTTAGTTACATGATCTTGCAGGTGGACGGTGGAAAAAATAAATTCTATTAAGTGAAGAAATCTCTTTTCAAAGCTCAACCAGAGAGGAAAGAGCAGGTTAAGGAGATAAAGACCATGTCAAGTTTTTACCAGGATGGGCTAAAAAGAAAGCAACATGGGTATCACGTGTTTGCTCACTGTGACCAACAACATGGAATGAACTGATTAAGCTGGCCAGTGTAGAACAGAAACTCTTATATTGTCTTCAACCTTGGCTGGAGGAAACAAACTCAAAACAAGTTCTGGAGTTTAAAAGCTCCATTCAGCAATGCACAATGTAACTGGGTTAAAGAGAATAAAGCCTTTGCAGAAAATACCAAGGACTAAGAGGAGAACAGATATTCTCCTGGAATTTTTTTTGTTCTCAACAAGAAAACCCACTCAGAGCAGGGACAGATACTATAAAAAACAAACAAACAGAGGGCAGTGCAATTTAGACTTGCAAGCAACGAATTGAAAAAAGAATGGTGGAAATTGATGTAGCAGAAGCTACTATATCCTGATGTTTTTCCAGTGCCTCGTAAATGCAGACATATTTCACTTCCAGTTTGTAACAAAGGCTTTATGTTCAACAAGTACTCCACATTAAACAATGGAATACCACTTCTGATCTGATGCCCCCATCAGCAGGACGACCTCACCTATAAAAAATAAAATTATTTTCTGATTTTACGCAACACTTTTTTTACACAACGCTTTTACTACTTTGTTACAGGGTTAAGGAAACTTTCATCATCACGGTTACAGTATTAACTTCTTGGTTACGGTTAGGGAACGACCGTGGTCATGGTTAAAGGAAACCAATGCTGACTGTAGGTATAAAACAGGAAAAAAGTGATGGAGTTACCCTTTAAATGCAAGTAATAATCAAATGGGATGTTTCTGGGTAAGTGAGATTTTCCTAAATGAAAGGAAGCTAGTACAAATGAGTAAAATACAGAAGGAAACGGTGCAGTAAATATCTATCTTGGTCACCTCCTCAATGAATAAACAGAAGACTCTGCAGGAGGAGAACAGGAAGGTTTAGCAGCAGATCTGGAGTTGGAGAAGGAACACAAGGAGAGGTGGAGCAGAGGGAAAAGAGACTGAAACTGAGTGGGGGTGTCAGAGAGGAAGAAGGCCAACGAGAATAAAGTGAAGCTAGTGTAACATACATATGGAGAATGCAAACACTAATAGAGGAAGACACTGATCTAAGTAACAGCACTAATGAGTTGTTTTGGAATAATGGCTCTTTCTTTATTATGTTTGATTATTGTATTGATACAGTAACTCTTTTGATTACATCAAGAATGAAGAGTGGATTACAGTAGATTTAATTTGGATTTTTAAAGTAATTTAATTGCTAATGGTTAGTATTAGAATGGGAAGCTATACAGACTAGTGTTAAAAAAGAAAATCTTCTTTTTGATAGAAGAAGACAGAAGAACATTTTTCCAGTAGATTGTATTCACGTTCATTCCTCTTGACTTATCTTCATTTTTACAGCAACATCTTTGTTTTCCATCTTCCAAACGAGAGATAACAAATTTGCCAGATTCACCCAGTGAAGACACATACTGCAGAGCAAATAAAACGTATTCCTCATCATAAAACTGCCTCTTTTCTTAGACAACAGGCTGTACAAGGGACTGTTTATATTTCCCAAAATTTGTATGTTGTCATCATAATAAAATAGATGTGCCAGAAACTGAAGAAAAAGACAAAATAAAACATTTTTCCAAGAAATGTGTCCCTGTCAAAGACAAATACTGCACAAAAGGTGAGCCCATATGGGACAGTTTGTAAGCTTTTTGTGGTGTTGATCCACAAATGAAGGAGATGTGTGCATTCGGTTTAAGATATTTGGTGCAGGATTTAGCCCGTAAGTACACTTCTGTAGCTTTGTAGAGTTTCATAGTTAATAAAAGTAGCTCATTATTTTCACAGTAGGGTACAGCAACTATTTGAAACTGCTGCATTTACAGGGCAGCCTGATTTCAATTACAAAAAAACACCATGGTCGTAATTTAGAGGGTAAAATAACAGGGTAAAAAACAAGATGAATATGTTTTGGAGTTGGCAACCACAGAGCAGTGAATGTGGTATATTTTTTTTCATTTTCATGTAGCCTACTCTACACTGACACATTTACACACATTCCCACCTAAAAGGCTGAGAGCTGACCTTTAGTCTGCTGCCATTGGCCAGTGACCAGGTTTGGTTTTGATGTCCCGAACAAGGGTTTCCTTATGGCAGATGTTTCCTCAGCAGCATTTTCCAGCACAGCTGTGGATTTCAACCACAGCTGGGCTGGCAAACTCGAGGCTGGTGAGTTACATAAAAGGTTTGCTGACTGGCTACTCTCATCGGCAGAAGAATGAGCACGACTGCTGTTCATGGAGCTGACATTACAGGCCAGACTGTTGCTGTCCAGTTTATTTGGTTCTGAATCAGTGCTCACACGGCATACATGAAGAGCTTGTTATTTGGGAGAACACACAATGATGCACGGAGGGAAATAGACACTTAGCACCCCCTGGTGTCAGGATGGAAGCCCATATTCCCTGTGTTATGTGTCCCAATTCATGTTTCAACAAATGCAAAGGCACAATTAGACATTCATTAAAAATAAATGAATTTGTGCACATCAACATTAACCTACAAGAAAATCTAGGAGCTTAGGACACATTATCAATATGTCATTTAGAATATAAATGGGTTATAATAACATAGTTAGAATAATTAATGTTGTTTTAGAGACTTCCTAGAGTATTTTACCCCCACAGAACATCAACATATTGTTCATTAATGTGTCATTGTCTTTTTAAAGCAATATGTTAGGCTATTATTCTTTAATATGTCAGTTGCAGAAATACAGTCAGTACACTACAAGGTAGAAAACAACTCTTAGTGGCGGGAAGGAAGATTTCTGGCTTATCTGGCCTTTAAATTTAAAGGGTTAAACATTTTTTAGTTTTAAAACATATAGTTCACTGGCAGAAACATAATATAAAGTAACAAAAAAGGTCTTTATGCAGCCTTATATGGTTATTAGGATGTCAGAACTATTTGCTAATTTAAAAAAAGGCATAAAATGGAGAAAAAATGTTTATCAGTTGTGACCGACAGGACAGATGTTTGCGCGGACCATTTGTCTCAAATTAAAATGACATAGTCGAAAACACCCGGAATGGCGTCTTGCTTTCAAAATAAAAGCAAAAACATCTAAAAGGCACGCCTAAAGTGATACGACATAGCCTACCAAAATAAAATACTACGAAAAAGCATCATTACTATGTGACTGACCGACTGGAACCTCGCTAAATCGTCAATGTCATCAAAACATCTGCAATATGTTCGGACATCGCGGTTTATTCTGAAAGTTGTCGAGCGGAAGTAGGCGCGTTTACGTAATCCACACAGCTTGACAGATAAAGCTAACCCCCCTTCCTCCTCCTCCTCCTCCCCTCGGGACAGCTCCTTAAATGAGTTTAAACAGCCATTACCTCCTCTGTTACAGGTGTACATGTCAATCATTATAATGTTATGACCACCGTTATAAGCTAGACGTAAAAGGTTGTCAGAGTAGTCCGGCTCTAACCGTCCATTACTGTCGTCAAGGTACCGGCGTTAGCTTCACGTCTTATCATGTGGGTGTTCGGTTACGGGTCTCTCATATGGAAGGTGGATTTTCCTTATGAGGAAAAAAGAGTTGGCTTCATAAAAGGCTTCAGCCGTCGGTTTTGGCAGGGTAGCACCGACCACCGTGGTGTACCGGGGAAGGTGAGTTATACTTGAGGGAATATTTGTCGCTGTGACCGAACTATAGCTAGCATAATGCCTGATAACAGACACATTAACTGATGCAATGTTGCCATACAGAGTTTGATTGTCTGTGGGGGCTTTTTGTTGTATGGTCAGGTGAGTCAAAAACAGGGGTTAAGCAGGGCATGAGAGAAGAGCTCCTCTAATGTTAATGGTGTAAGTTCATATATGGTGTCTGGTTATAATAGGTGAAGTATAACAGTGCTACTAACTATCATAGAGAGTTGGGTACAAAAGGTTCCTGTAGAAAAGAGAAGTTTAAGGAGGTTGCCATTCAGATCCACAAGCCATTATCCACCTTTTTAAACAGAGTTAGACTTCATGTAGCAGCTCATTGTGTTGTAAGTATTTTATTTAACTTTTAATAGGGGAATTATTGGCAATATATGCTGCAGCTAAATAAATCCATACTCTGTTTTGTTGACATTTGTACAGTATCCCTCTACAGTTTTTAATTATAAGACTTCTAAACTGTACATAATCCTACTTGGTAGCTTTACTGTATGAGTTTTTCATTGCTTATTCAATGTCCTTGTACCTCCGTCTGTGTTGTTTACAGCCTGGCCGGGTTGTGACACTGGTGGAGGATCCTGAGGTAAGACACACCCCATCCTAAACTTAATAACAATTATAATATTAATCAAAACCTGGTTTACAAAGTGCTTTAAACGGTGAAACAACAGAAATCAAATACTAATAACCATAGCAACACCAGTAACAATTTAAAGAATAAACAATTTTAAAACATAACAATAAATAAAAATTGAAGATAAAACAATAAAAAACAATAAAACCACAGTAAATAAAAGGTTAGCTGGAAGGATGACACCATACATTACTTACATATATCACTAATGATTAAGTTAATTGTCTATTACGTTGTCAGTTATGTTCTTGATCAATTATTTTGTCTATGAAATGTCAGAAAATAGGGAAATATACTTTCCCAGACCCCAAGGATGTCTTGTTTTGTCCCACCAAAACCCAGCACGGTCAGCGTACAATAAATACTTACATAGGGAAAAGCTGGGACCTGAAAATGTTTTGTATTTTTGTTTGATAAATTACCTTTTATTATCAAAATTGTTATTGAGTATTTTTTTTCTGTCAACTAAGCGATTCAACTATCCAGTTCAGCAGAATGGTTGTAGTTTTGTTATGGAAAACGATTAAATGCTCATCAGATTAATAGATGATTCATTTACTATCACGTAGTCAACTATTTTTTGCCGCTCTCCTTTGTAATATGTCAAATAAATGTACAGTATGCAGAAAGAACAACGTTTCAACAAACAATCAGGTGTGTTAAAATAAGGTGTTTATTCACCCTTTTATTTGAACACCTACCTTATCATTATGATTTGTTATTGTTAGTTGGCGAGTGTCCTATTAAAAATGATATAAATCTTTAAGGTTTTAATTAAATTTGACATAGTGGCTGTAAATGTGATGTTTTTATTAGAGGACAGATTGTGTTAGGTGAGAAAAGCAAACAAAATCACATTTTATTTATACAGTAACAATAGATTATCAGCACCTGAGGGTCATAATTCACCCCCTTGTTATTAAATTAATTTGTGTAATTAAGAGGCAGACAAAATTTCAACGCAATAAAGTGAACAGCGAGATTTTGAAAATGAGATTCCACTTAATAGAACGCAGTTTTCAGGTTATATTTACTAACATCCTGTTTTTCCATATGGAAATCAGACACTGCTTTACTAAAGCATTAACAGTGCCAGAGGTGAAGAAATCCACTCTCATTTGGATTGTCACGGGGTTATGTATATTTTATTTAATGGCACACGTGCATGAAATGAGACACACGCTGAACAAGGCGAACAAGAGTGTGTACTGCTCAGGAGAGGAGATGGCATCTCACACAGCTGAAACAAAGGAGAGACGGTGTATTGTATTCTGACCTTGGATGAGAGATAATTTGCTACAGTTGTTGGGAAAGAGATAAAAGATACAGAGCATGTCTTATAATGTAGTGAGAACATGGAAAGCATCTACAAAACACGCATTTAGAGGTGACTCATAAGTATTACATAAATATGTGAAATAAACCATCTTTCTACAAGCGTCACAGTTTATTATCACAAACAGTGTATTAATACAAACAGTGATTGGGCTGTAACTAAAGATTATTTTAATTTAAAATGAATTGCTTGGTTATAAATTGTCACAGTGAAAAATGCGTCATCATGGATTCATATTGCTCAAGTTGACGTCCAACAGTCGGACATTTGAGGACGTCAAAAGCTGGAACCAGAGAATTTTAGCCTTTTTGCTTAGAAAAAAAGAAATGATCTAAAGGGGGTTTCCGCTAATAGAGAAAATAACATTTATTATGTTAATTATATGATTTACATGTACAATATACTCAATTTTGACAGTTGATTATTAATTTAGGTAATTTATTAAAGGTTCTGTGTGTAACATTTAGGTGGATCTGTTGACAGAGATGGAATATAATAGTCAGGTATGTTTTCATTAGAGTATAATCACCTGAATATAGGAATCTTGTTTTCTTAAGCTTAGAATGAGCCATTTTTATCACTGCGGGTCGCCTTCCATGGAGTCTGCCATGTTGAACCGCCATGTTTCTACAGTAGCCCAGAACGGACAAACCAATCACTGACTGTAGACAGGGCATCACGCAAAACAAGCAATTTGAAGACGTCACCTTGCGCTCTGGGAGCTACTGGTGGACATTTTTCATTATTTCTGACATTTTATAGAGAAAACAGCCCTATTTTACCTTAATATTGAACGTATGATTAGGCTTTAATTAATAGTATATGGAGGAAAAGTAAATGAGTATTAGTTTCAAGTAGGGCTGCAACTGATCATCCTTTTCATTATTGATTACTCTGTCAGATATTAGTGAAAGATATTCAGTTTACTCTCATAGAAGACACAAAAAAACAAATATTTACATTTGAGGAGCTGAAGCCAGAGAACTTCTGGAATTTTTGCTTTAAAAAAAGAATTAAATTGAAATGTATCATAATTAGTTTCTGATGAATTATCTATCGATCGCTACAGCTCAGGTTACAAGTTCAATAAAATTAAAGGAATTTTGTTTCCACACCTTTTTGTGTTGAGTTTGTCACTCTGCATAATTTCCTACAGATATTAAGCTACCTATTTACTTTCTGTCACTCTTTCTCTGCAGGGATGCGTTTGGGGTGTCGCCTACAAGCTGCCGACGGGCCGGGAGCAGGAAGTGAAGAGTTACCTCGACTACAGAGAAAAAGGTGGTTATCAGGTCATCACGGTGGCCTTTCACCCCCGTCCACCACTCACTCCGCCGCCCAACCAGGCGCTGTTGTACATTGGCTCTCAGGACAATCCAGACTACCTCGGCCCCGCCCCTCTTGAGGAGATAGCCAACCAGATCGTCAGCTCTACCGGTCCAAGCGGGCAAAATACGGAGTACCTCTTTCAGCTGGCTGATGCTGTGAGGACAATTCTGCCTGAGGACTCAGACGCACACTTGTTTTCTCTAGAAACTTTAGTGAGGGAAAGACTACCGAAAGGGCCGAAACACTCACACACTCAAACAGGTTGATTGTGATTAGATAACTAATAAGACTTGATCAATGATATATAGCAGGTTGGATATCTGTCAAATGATCTCAGGGTTCAAGGTACACGTAGGGCCAATAAGGATATTTGTCGGGTATGGAAAATACGTTGACGAGGTCTGTTTGTATCCGTTAGTGTCACACTGCAAAGATATAAGAAGAAAATGTTACATTACACAGCAATTAATAATACAATAATAATGTATCGAAAGCTGCTTCAAAATAGTACAAATGACAAATACATAAAGGTATTGTATCTAAACTACATGTTGAGTGATTGCAAATTATGCTTTGGATAAACGTAGATTTAATCCCTTCCTCCCACATTTAAACACACTAAGGCCGAATGTTTTAACGAATAAATACTGTATATTCACAGATACATGTGTTGTGAGAGTAGTTCACTCATACATTTTAGTAAGTATGAGTGAACTACTCTCACAACAGAAGTGCAATGTAGGGCCCACGCAAACATTTCCAGTAGGGTAATTTTGTTAAAAAAAATTGGAACCCAGAGCAAATGTAACAGTTTAACACTCAAAAAATGTTTCAAATCTGCCTCACCCGGACTGTGATTGTGTGGTTTGATCACAAATGTTTAACAATGTGATTGCTGGCAACAATAGCAAACAACCCTATAACTATGTTGCCAAATCTAGATTGGTGCATGGAAGTATTTTGCATCTCTTTTTTTTTTTTACACCAATGAGAAGAGTGCAGAGAATCACAACTTGGACAAAAAAAAAAAGAGAAATAACCAAAACTCGTATCAACTTTGAAAAAAAAGTTGTGTGTTCATGAGTTTGTTGCTCAACACAAAGCCCTGACTGAGAAAACCTTGGCTTACAAACTTTAAAATATGTCATTTGGATGGGTCTGATTCATCCTTCTCACCTTTTTCAGCCAGCAGTCAGTTCACAATTTGGTCCAGACAGAGATATCTCAACAACTACTGCATCGATTTCCATGAAATTTGGTACAGACATCCGCCCCAGAGCATGAATCCTTCTGACTACAGTGAAATAACACTACTGTACATCTACTGAATAGGCTCAAAAATCCCTTTTGTAATTCCTTAACATTAGCTCGAAGCACCATCATCAAAGTCTTACGGTTAATGACATTTCCATCAGCCTCAACTGTACTTTATGGTAAGCACTAATAAGCAAATGCTAGCATGCTAACACGCAAGATTGTGAACAAGGTAAACATTCTACCTGCTAAATATCAGCATGTTAGCATTTTGCTCAAAGCAACGCTGTGCCGAAGTGCAGACCCACAGAGTCGCTAGCATGACTGTAGACTCTTAGTCTTGTTCTTATCTTACTCTGGTTAACACTACATCTCCATGTAATGTAGTAGATCGCTTTTTAAATATAAGATTACCATTTCATTCAAATAATTGAGTCTCCATACTGATTTTATTGGACTAACCTAGATGATTCAAATGGTTTAAAAAAGGAGGACACGGTTTGCCAGATAAGTTATGACACTGTTTTTAGTCTCTAAAAGAAAACCTGAATATTAGGTTTATGGGCATCATTAGTCATGCCCAAAAACCTATTTTAGAAGACATTATCTTAACTCTTTCTAAAGTTGATTGTCTAACCAGATAGTTCTGCTTTGGTAAATGCCCTCCATCTCTCTTCCTGATATTCCAGACTGTACATACAGTTTCTCATTCTGCCAACATACGTATCAGCACAGTGAGCATATCCAAGTCAACAGCAGTGCATCAGAAAAGAATCAACACGCAGAATAAAAATGGTGACAGATGTATCTGTGATCCTGTCTTTCTTAAACATACACTGTATGTTTACACTGAATGTTTTTCTGTAGCAGCATCTGTACAGCACAACGCACAAAAACTATCCGTGCAGAAACAAACATCTGATCTATATTTTATCTCCGTCTCTGTGCTGAACATAATCTTCTGTCGAGAGCTATGTGATGTGGATGTATGCAGATAAAACTGTAGGTATTTCACGTGATGGGTCAACCCTGGCAAACATACAGCACGCCACACTCTTCCTCTCTAAAATAAAACACATCTCTCTTTACAAATGAGTGAATTTATTGAACAGGAAACAACAGTAAGTTCTCAGTGTTGAGCTACTGTAGTGGGTTGTATATGAATAAGATAAAATATTACAGCATGTTATACATTTTATTACTTATTATATGTGTATATCATCTTATACGTGTATATACATTTATATTAATTACATAATTTATATCAATATTCAGTATTATGTATTATACAGTATTAGAAACATCACATAGCATGATATTATAACTTTAGAAATAAGATTAGAGTTTGTAGTATTTTGTAATGTTAATGTCATTTTTAAATATTCTACATATATATATATATATCACAATATGTTTTTCTTATATTTAGTAAATAAATGGACAGTTCCATCTTTTTACGTATTATTTAAAAATCTTTTGAAAGTACGTAGACTGAAACACTGTAATGACAAATAGTTATCTGAAAAAATACAGAGGTTTCTGGCAGATGTGTGTAAAATCAGTAGTTGAATGTATTCTATAATAACCACAAAAGAATACACCTAAAGGGTGGTTATCTCTAAAGTAAAGTGGCCACCTTTGGGGCTGTTTAGCTGCTTGGCGAGACAAAATAAACACACCAAGTAAGTTAAATATTTGAAACTTTTTTTCCAAGAACTGCTTTTGTGCCGAGTTTACTAAAGGCCAACATTGGCACGTGAGTTTCCAGAGGCAGGGCTCTCAGCCACCCAACATCATACACTATTTTAACAGGCTGCACAGAGGACCGGTGTTCCCAACAGTGCTAAAAGGTGTAATTATTTTCTATGGGACTGGTCAGTCAGTCTGCAAATGACCTGGCAAGGCAGCTGGCCGTCTAGGCGTAGTAACAGGGCGACACCAGGAGGTCTGTGAGCACAAGCAGCTGGTCATCAGTGAAGCACTGACGATGCTCCTGCCAGTTATCGTGGTGAGTTCGCCTGAACTCCGACAGGGTCTTCTTCACAGTCATCTTGGGACAAAAACACACAATCATCATTACTGACACCACGGAAAAATACAAATGATCATGAATGAATGACATACATCTACGTACAGCTTGCACAGGCTTACAAGACACAAAAAAGCTGAGATCCAGAATGCAACACACATTTTAAAACATTACAAATAAAGTGGTGGAATGCCATTAAGTACATTTATTAAATATCATACTTGTACTTTACTATTACTACTATATGCCACCTTAGACTGCACTACATAGAGTCAAATACTGTACTTTTTACACTCCACTACATTTATTTATTTTAAAACTGTAATTAGTAGTCAATTTGGATATTAAGATCAACTTAACATCCATTTAAACAAAGTGTGTTGCATTGTTGCCGAACCTATATATATTAAAGTAGATTAAATCAGCTCAACCTTTACTAACTACAACAGTGAAATGCCACTTATTGCCACATATTTAAACATCAGTAATAGTGATCCAATAATATATACAGCATTCTCAGAGGGGGAATTGTTTTCTGTGCAATTGGTATTTTTTTTACTTTTAATACTATATATATATATATATATATATATATATATATATATATATATATATACACACACACACAGCTTTTAATGACTTTGACTCATAACAACCTTGTATCATTTCTACCTTTACTTAACTAACAGATCTGATTATTTCTTACACCCAAAATGTCAGTAAGGTGCAAAAAAGGTCTAAAAAGAAACTAATTTGAATAATTTTCACTGACACATTTCAAATGACACATTTACTATGCAGTACTCAGAGAAAATATGAATTAAATAGCCCCATCTTGCCTTCTTATCCAGGCTTGTGAGACAAAGCAAGCAAATTTAAACACATCACAGTCTAACAGCCATTCCAATTTTTGACCATCTGCACACCAGAATATTTCAGGGTTTTGGTTGAGTCATAAATAAACTTTGAGTTCTTAAATGATCAGTGTATGTACTGTACCGAATTGAAAAAAAAATCACAGTGTTGCACCAGAGCAACTAAAGATCTGTGGCTTCTAGATAAGCCAGATGTAACAAAAGATTCAGGACCAAACTTTTGTTAAGAACGTGTATAAATACTTATTTTTGGCTTTGACAAGATATTTTCAACAAATTTTTATTCAAAACTTGATTAAAAGCTTAATTTGAAGGGTGTTAAGATTATATCACAAATTATTCCTATATATTTACAGCATATCAGCCCCCTCAGAGATTAAGTGGAGCTCATTTACAGATGGAGAACTATAATGTTCCATCGTGGGAGTGTAACGTGTATTTCAGAGGATGTTAAAGTGGTGTGTTTGTGTCTCAAAATTAGGACATTTCCATTCAATTCTGCAGTGAACTGTTGCAATAAAGAGGATGTTGATAGTTCTTTTTGTTGCTTCATTTGTTTTGAGGAGCAAAGAAAGTTAAGAGCTGATAACAGCCTTTTTGGTAACAGCCACTATCTGTTCTTCCAATGAGAGCTACCCTGAAGTTTAACAGTGCAACTAGAAAGTGGCTGAATATAACTTGCAAAGCAAATAGTTCCTTTTTTCTAGGTGGTAAAACAAAGCCATTTGCTGATCTGGATCCAACAGCAGCTGATAATCTTTGCATGAACAGTCTCATTTGTTTACATGAATTAAAAACTGATGAGGTAATAATAAGTTATTGATGTTAAAATGCCACATATAATAATTTAAATACGCAACGCAGAAATTATTTAAAGTGAAACAAGTTTGGAGTGAAAAGTTAGTGTGGTTCAACAAGGACACAAAAACAAGAATTAAACTGATGATTGCTATAACCAAGGATGTATTCATGACTTAAACATAAAGTACATTCATTTCACATTATGGCCTTCAAACAAAATGATTAGATTTTAGGGAAGGAAGAAGGTGTGTCTAGCCAGACATCCACAACTGATTTTGACTACAGATGAGTCTGCCTGAAGAAACCAAGATATTATATCCCTTATTATTCTGCACAAAATATCCTACTTCTACTATTTCATATACAATTTGTGCATTATTTTCAGTAGCTTTTGTGACATATATTGACAAATGTATATTTTAACTGTATTGCATTGTATTTTCTTTCTCATCTCTTTCACTTTGCAACAGGAGAAGCACTAAATTATCATCATCATTGGCTCCCCATCACTGTAATGTATTATTCACACTCTGCACTACAGATTACATTGTATGTCTTCTTCATGCCTGAGGAAAGGCCAAAGACACAATTTTCTCCTCAATTGGACAATGAAATTGTATTCTTTCAGCTCACAATGTGTTGAGCTAGATGTTTGTATATGAGTGTGTGAGAGTGTGTACTAATGTGTGCGTGTATGTGTGTACCTCTATAGGCTGTGGGTCGTTGAGATGGTCACTCAGGTCCATCAGTATCTGAGGCATCCAGTCTTGAACATCGTAGGGGCTCGACAGGATGCACGCACTGAGGCCGAGCACTCCAGCATGGCGCCGCACCAAGTCTGCACACACAAACAGACACACACACACACACACACACACACACACACACACACACACACACACACACACACACACACACACACACACACACAAATGGAGAGTTAAAATGGGCCGTAGAATTTCAAGGTTCACAATTCCCCTGGGATAAGAAAGGGTAATAGGGCAAGTATTACTGTGATTGCCTCACTGTGTGATTGTGACGTGCACATAAATGTGTGTGTGTGTACCTGTGGAGGCCAGCTCTCCTCTGGCCTTGGGGAGGAGAGTCTGACTCAGCGTCTGGAGCTGTGTCTGCAGACTGGAGTCCAGGGGGAAGAACTGGCACTGCAGTAAACCACTGAGGGTGGTGCCTGCCATGTCCCTCACCTACAGGGAGAAGGAGGAAGGGGGGTGGGGATAGAGGGAGGGACAGCAAGGAGAGAGAAAGATTTTTAAAAGAAAAAGAAAAAAGAGAGACCCGTGAAGATCAGAAGCGACAAATAAAGGATGCAGCGGAGAGCACGAGGCAGTTTTAGGGCGAGAAACGCATACACAATTTATTAAAAGAGGCGAGTGCAAGGAGATCCGGGAAAAAGCGAGGCACACAGGACAGAAATGAGCAGAGGAGGAGGAGGAGGAGAGGAAGAACGGGGAGGAGGCATAGATGCTGAGTTGAGCTGAGGCAAAATTCACTTGCAGAACATCACTGCTTTCCTGCATCACTTTGCATAAATTATGAATAAGCACTGAGTGACGGTTGATGCATTGAAATAGACGATGATACAAACACAACACATCCACCAGCTGTACACTTACACAGTTTACACAATATTAAGAGAAGCAACTGTTTTTGTGAGTTAGAAAACCAGGGTGAAGCCCTTTGCTCATTGATTTTCACCTGCACATCCAGATCAATGGAAAGAGACAGGCTAAAGAAGGTTTTAAAAGCCCAGAGACCACTGAGACATGGATTGTACAAAAAAAATGACGTAACTCAATATTAGCAGAGACTGTGCACCAGTAGTAAAGTTGATTATATTGCACTCAATAAATAGACATGAATAATTAATTAACATAGCAGCTAGCAGCAGTTAGTCAAGATTAACAGTCAAAACAAATATGCCCTTCTAAATTATATTTTGGGTTTATGATGTTATTTTTAGAGCACTAAAATTACAACCAGCTACAAAGCAGTGCAAGACAGCCATTGTCCTCGACCAACATCCCTCTAACCACAGAAGAAGAGAAAGGCACCAAAATAGGAAAATAAATTAAGAGCTGAGCAGCGAGGTAGAGGGTTATTTTTAAGCAATAACCGTGAACAGAAAATAGGGATTAAGATTTAGTGAGAACAGACTTGGGGACAATAAGTGGCCATTTATAATCGTGTGACAATTATACCTTACAGAGGGGCAATGACTGTATTAAAGCAGTGTTTGCCGCCTTTTTTTGCATACATTACCTCAAGCTGTTCATCAAGCAGCAGCTGCATCACCAGCTTTCGGATGCGGAACACCTCGGCAGGCACGCTGAGCAGGGTAAACAAGTTGTAGAAAACCATGATCTGGAGGTAGGTCAGTACTGAGAAGCGTGCATGCCACGACCTACTGCTTGCCATCTAGAGCAAAATGGGAGAGAATAAGGGAGTGAGAGAGAGAGAGAGAGATATGGGTGGGGTTAGTACAGAGGCCCAAAAGATAATGTTTTTATGTATCTCATGCAAACAAAATATAATGTTGTGTACACAAGATTCATACGTTGTGTGCACAAGTGATTATCAGTTCATATGCTTCTCTACTGGTTTTTCTGTAGCCTACAGACCATGAATTTCAGTCCAAAATATCACAGCCAACCAATAAATAGTTGTTGAGATATTTCCGTCTGGACCAAAGCGGCGGATCAACATTAGCATCTATGGAGCCAAGCTGCTAAGAGGCTAAAAACATGGGACCGTTCCTCAACAGGAATCTTTTGCAGGATATTTTAATGGTCGACAGGTTGATCAGTTTACAGCACATGATGTGGGGAAGATGCATGATGGATGTATGGATGGATGTGACAAGGAAAAAAAAAAAAGTAAAGATTCATATTAGCTAAACTGTATGAGATCCCAAGTGCTCTAGCACACAGATGGCAATGACTTCACAGAAGACAGGATTTCTCAAAAGCACCAAATTAATCTCCATGTGTGTATTAATGAGGGGATTGATGGCTTCTCACAGAAAATCATTTGGCTGACTGCCTACCAAACAAGCAGTCACCACAAAGTTACCGGGGGCTATGGAAGCATTAGAAGTGCTACTGTAGGCAGCTGTCCCAAACATGTGCACACTTTTAAAAGAATAGTTTTTGGGAAATACACTTATTCACTTTCTTGCTGAGAGTTAAATGGGAAGGTTGGTAGCTCATATCTGTACGACGCTAAATATGAAGCTACAGAAAAGCTACGGTATTCACCACCTTAAGGTCATACCTCTATATATATATACATATATATGTTTTGTGTGGGGGCTTTTATGCCTTTATATTGATAGGACCGTTGAAGATAGACTAGATAGAAAAGGGGGGATGACACATTGCAAAGGGCTGTAGGCTGGAATCGAACCTGCATCACTGCGGCAAGGACTCAGCCTACATGGGGCACGTGCTCTACCAAGTGAGCTACCATGCGCCCCAAAGTTCCTACCTTTTTATAACCTCAGAACCACAGACATATCTATGCACAGAAGTCAGCTGATTTCCTCTGCTTCCAGTCTTGATGCTAAGCTAAGCTAACCCCCTGCTTGCAGAATCAGTAACATAATTATTATTAATATCTGCTGGCTTACTCGATACTTAGCACACAGTTACAGTACAAAAGTGGTATCGATTCTCTCATCTAACTCTCGGTGAGAAAGCAAGTATTTCCCAGAATGTCAGCCTATTACTTTTGCACACAACATGATATCTTGTTCCCACAAGATAAAATATTAAGGCTTGGGTGTCAAGGTGCAACCAAAAAATGTTGTTGCAATGCTTTTTCATCCCGTCTTCCATCAAATATGAAACTGTAGACAGGAGTGGTTAGATATTCTGAGAGCACTGGAGACATTCCTCAACAGGGGTGCCACTCACGTACACAAATCACAGCAGAAATACTGTAAGCATCACAAAGTAAGCAAATTAAAATAGCACAGGTTGTTTTTAGTCCAACAACACCTTGGGCAGCATAGGCTCTGCACACTGGCAGCATGCAGGTGGGGCAGTGTGTGTTTGAGTGTGTGCATATTACCTCTTCCAGCGCTGCCAGAACCAGAGGGATGTGCTCAGGATACAGCAGGCCCTGGGACATGAGAGAGAGACACGTGCGCGCATCCTGCTTCATCTCATCATAGCTCTCATCAATCTCCACTGGGGCAATCTGCAGGGAGAGAGAAACACAGAGAGAGAGATGGAGAGAGGTAGGAAGACACAGAGCAACACACCATTTTGAGTAAATGAAGAGAGAAATTGAGTTTAATGGGCAAGTAAGATTGAGTGGGTAATAATGCTGCGCAGGGACCTGTGTGTGCGTGTGTGTATATGTGCGTGTGTTGTTACCTTGAAGAGTAGAGGCAGGAGCTGTAGTTGCTGCTGAACGGGAGTGGTGAAAGTCCGCCCTGCGCTCGCCATCAACCATTTCAACACTGCAAATGGCACAAACACACACACACAGACACACACTCAGAGGAGATTTTGGGTTGCTGCCAAATAATAAAAACAACAGACTTGGCGCTGTGACCTTACTGCATTGCTCTGCTAATAAAACACAATCTATCATGATTCAGTATCTAATGATTTGGATAATTTTATAACCAGATATTTATCTGAATAATGGATATTAGAGCAGTAACAGAAACTGAAAGAGCAACAATGCACAAATGTTACGACAAGACATGAGATTTAAATTCAGTATCGGTAAACAGGTACGCCACCGCGCCAAAAAGAAGCAGGTGCTGATAAACTCCAAATAAGACATATTGATCTATTTCTAATGAAATATCTGCTCCCCCCAAACTATAAAGAATTTTATTTTCAAACAATTTTCCATCCTTTAGAAAAATACCTACATCTTGACCTCGGGTGGCAAAATGAAAGAGCTTTTTATTTTCCTTAGTGAAGGTGCAAACACTGTTTCAAAGCCTTCAACCCACTGCCAGGAAAACAAATCTGGTGGGAAAATATTTAATACTTAAGTTAAAAGTAGTTTTTTTAGTCCCAGTAGGTTACTAAAACCACTACACTGTATTCTCAGTGGTAACTACAGTACTTCTAGTGGTATTCAGTTGCAATTTTATGTGCCCATGTTTTAAAATATCCATGTCTGGGATTTCTGCTGCCACCTGTTACTGGAAACAGATGCTGTTGAATTTTGTGAATATCATTTTCACCTCAACTGTATTTGGGTGGAGGTAGAAATGTCAGTGGCAGACACCTGAGCAAATACATTTGAATAACTGAATACAGTTAATGGTAAGTGAGATTTAAAAAAAAAATCTGTTTTTGTAATTTGTAAATGACCCCTTAATTGAATCTGTAAAATAGAAAGAACACCAAAGTAAATTTCCTTTATTTAACTGCTTTGGACACTAGCCTGTAACTAAGAACAAAATCAATAATAAATTATTGTACAAATTATTGCACTACATGGCTTGTACAAATGTTAATATTAGAGACACCCTCCCAAATATTGAGACAGACTCCTTTCCGTAACTTTTTTTGAAAGGCTTGAACACACACCCTTGAAATTTCCCTTCATCTACACCGTGCTACCGTTTAAAGTGGATTTAAAAGGTGAAATCAATAAGGGATCACAGCTTTTAGTTTGTTTCATCTGGCTTCAGTATACCAGTCTATTTCATCAAGAGAACAAGCTGTCCTGGTGTGTGTATATATATATTTTCCCACAGCCACTGTCTATCCCTGGCCCACACTATGTCCATCCACCACACAGTTTACATGCTTGCATCCACATTCTGACCCGTCTTGAGCAGTTTGACAGCCTGGGTGCGCTCGTCCGTCTCCTGGGTGTTCTCCTCGTGGACGTGGTTGTGGATCTCCGGCTCGGACGTGAGGGGCTTGAGCCGCTCTAGGACCCGGGGGACAAACTCCGCCACGTGGGGGGAGGAGGTGGGCCGGGTGTTGGGCAGAGCCACGTCTATCATGAAGATATAGGTCAAGACACTGGAGAGAGAGGGGGACAGAGGGGGTAAGGGAGCAGAGGCAGATAGAGGATAGAGGGGAAACAGAGAGGGAAAAGAGTCACAAATGCAGAAGAGGAGCAGTTGACACAGACAGGAAGGCAAAGAGGCTTTGAGAATTAGAGAATTGAACAGCCCAAACAGTGCACACAAACTAATTAGATTAACCTATTTAACCATGATTATATAATCCTGAAGAGATAACACCAAGTTAATTTGGTACCTTCCAATGCGCTCCCTGACATTCTTATACACATGGGTGAGTTTGGGCTCCAGGTAAGCCAGAAGCCTGTGCAGCAGTTCCGAAACTCTCCACTGCTGCTGGGCCAGACCTCCCTGAAGCACATACAGCAAACTGACAGAGACAAAGAGAGAGGGGGATTGAGGGATAGGGGGTCGTTGCGTTATTGCGGCACGTCAGCTCAGCATACGTCAGCTCAGGTTACTACTGCAGCCTGAAATCGGAAACCACTGAGATGACATAAACACGTACTCATAAACACATGCATTCATGCACGTGGGCAGAGACACATGCACGTACCTGGCATCCCTGAACGAGCCGCCCTCTCCACTGAGTGGGCTTTCCATCAGCAGCTCGAACAGCCAGTGGAGTTTCCTGGGGTCCCTGCCCTCCTATTGGACAGCAGCAAGTAGAAAATAGGGGTTATTTTTGGAACTATTATTTCAGATAGCATAGCATTCATCCACGGAGGTACTGTGTGCAGATAGTCCCATTCTTTTACTTCCAATGGAAACAGAGAAAATAGTCCCTGATTCAAAACTCTACACCAAAACTAAACAAAATCTACATGTTTTTATTTTTATTTTTAACATTTTGTGTACAGTATGTTTAAGGCAGGAGAAAATCAGTCTTAACTGATTTTAACCAAATTTCCTCATCAATCCAAATGTTGTTTCCTGCTGCAACAAGATGCAGACAACTTGTTTACAGTTTCAGAAAATCCTCAAACTAACACATTTAAGCATGGTGCTTTGAGCTAAATGCTAACATGCTCACAGTGACAATACTAAGATGCTGAGGTTTAACAGGTTTTTACCTATTGTTCCATGCTAACATTTGGTAATTAGCACTAAACAGTTTCACTTATGGGGAACATGTAATTTGATGGCGATCCATCCGACAGTGGTCCAGACATTTCATTCAAAACTACAAATGTCAGCCTCATGATGACGCTAAAAGAAAGGTCAGGAGATCACTAAAGTCAGTAGGATTTATTGTCTGGGAACGTTGAATATATAGTACAACATTTCATGGCAATCAGTTGAAAAGTTGTTGAGGCGTGTGTGGAGTGGTGGACAGATAGTAAAGTAAACAATGTTTGTGCTTTTCAAAATCCAATTTTCACCTGAATGTTTGCTTTATTGATTTAAAAAAAAAAAAATCTGATCTTCAAAATATTTTAATAAAGAAAATGTAGAGAAATTTTCAATTTTCTTTAATGAGCACTAAGCCACGTTGCGTGTGGTGTATTTGTATGCATGTGAGCAACTCACGCAGGCAGTAGCGATGCAGGTGCCCCAGTCTGTGTAGGTTTCCACTGTGATGTTGGTTAATGCTGTCCTGATCAAAGGGCACAAAAGCTTCCATAGCCTGTCCACCTGAGCGCACACACACACAATAATAAAAGTTTTTATTAATATTGACTTTTCTTATCAAAAAGTAGTGCAGCGTGTATTATTTGTCGCTCTGTGTGTGTGTGTGTGTGTGTGTGTGTCTCAGTACCTTGCTGAAACTCCAGAGTTTGCTGCCTCTGATTAGTCCTGCAGTAATCTCACACACACAGCGCTGGGAGCTCTCATGGGGGTCGCTGGCGAGCTGCTCTAGGTGAGGCCATAGTAACGGCAGGAACACGTCACCATAGTTACAAAACAGCCCCTGTCAATCAAACGTGAGCATGAAGGTTTGTTCACTCTGGGGGAACCAAGACTCTTTTTTAAACCAAAGAAAGACAGATTACAGTCATTCACTTGACGCAAGTAAACTGTCAGCTATGTGACGGACAACAATGAATCACAGCAGTTGATGACACAAACTCCAGCTCTACGTAGTTCAATTCAGCCTTGGCTTGCTGTGTCACTTCTTTGTAAAAGGTTTGTCATATCGATTGAGGCTGAGAGTTTAAATTGCACCTTGAAGAGACAGAACCGTCGGGGGTTGAAGCTGTCTTTTCCTTTCCGATCCTCCAGAGAGAGAAACCCTATGAGCTGGTCAATAAACTCTGGGTCCGAGAAATATTCAAAGATGATCTTTTCACCCTGAGAGACACAAAAACAAAACGCCACATAATAATAACAGTAATAGCGAAAAACATCTGTGAGAGATTTGATGTGTGGGGTACAGAATGAGCACACACCTCACTCATCTCTTCATACGTCAGGTCATCTTTTGGCTTTTCAGAAGCTGCATGGATCATCATTTCTCTGAGAGGAGCGGGAGACAAAGAAGAGACTGCTGTGATTTATAGATAACAACAAAAAATATGGATAGACACATACTGTCTTCAAATAAGCAGCAAAGATAAATGAATGATTAAAAAGTCAGTTAGTCAGCAAGCTGTCCGCACACCAAGACAGCCAGCCAGCCCCACACCTATACATCAATTCTTCTATCTAGGCCAGGCAGGAAGTCATTCAGTCAGCCTTATCTAGGCCAGGCCATGATAGGAAGTCAGTTCAACACCCTGCTAGTTATCCAGCCACCCAGATCAGTCATCTAGCAGTTAGTCGGACATGAAGTTAGCCACAAAGCCACAAAGGCAAGCATCAAGTCAACCAGGCAGTTAAGTCAATCAGCTATTTAGCTCCATTTAACCAAGCAGTTAATCAGCCTTCCGGTTTCTAAATCCACCACCTAAACACTCACCTTGGCCATGTGTAGTAGCCCCAGTGTGTTTTCTCCACATATAGTTGAGTATCCCACTGTTCCTCACTTAGAGGTAGATTGTTGCTGTCGTACTGAAGCCAGCGATTCCCCTCACGATCCCCACACACACCCTCTAGATCCTCTATGCCACCTAGACACCCATGCGAACACAATGCAAATAGTCATGACTACACACATATAAGCATATAAGCAGTTTTGATTTGCATTTGTGGGGGAGTGTGAGTTGCTCATGGTTTCTAGACAAAAAAAAAGAAGGAAAAAGAAACGATTTTCTAATTTCAGGCAATTTATCTTTTAATAGAAAGCAAATGTAGATTTATATGCTGCTCCTATTGCTTACTCAATGGGAAATCACCACAGAATTAGTCTGTACACCATGATGTATTATTTAATCAAAATTAGATGCTGAAATTGCAACTGATAATGTAGCAGTAGCTGGAATCAGGGAAGGCCTTACAAATAAACTTGCCGCATTTACCCACAAGACCTGAATACAAGAGGTGTGTATCGTATATGATTGTTATTGGGTTATTGTTTGTGTACTCATACTTACTGATATCTGATGGTTTCACAGCCACTTTCTTTCTTGGTCGTTTTAGCTGTTTCAGGACACCAGCCATTGCTGATATTGCCACCTGTGGTAGAGAAAGATTATACAGTAGTAAAGTAGAGCCGCACACAGAATGATAGTGGGCTGAAATATGCACTGTTCAGTCTGCTGCTGCTACTTTTCATGGTATTGTTCTTTTGATCAACTGCACACCTTGTATATGGCTGAATGACAATAACTTCAGGTTTTCAGAGTTGACTGGGCTGTTGATGGACACTATTATCCCACAATGCAATGCACAAAGGAAATAAAAAATGCAGGTGGTGGTGGCAGCACGAGGAAGATCTTAAAAAAATAAATCTTTAGAAAGACATTCTGCCTTCTCTTTGTTAAGTTTAATTGGAAGTGACAATCTGAGGTCACAGTTTGACTGACATCCAAGGGTGCACCGATTTCCTGTTAATTGAACGCAGTAAAGTGTGTTGACTTTTTGTGTGGCAACTGCAAAAAGAGTATACTATAAATATATAATGAAAATGTAAATCAGTTTTTATTTTCATTTCACAGTATATACAGCCATACATGAAACAGAATTTGTCCTCTGCATTTGACCTGTCCTATATACATGAGCAGCCGTAGGAGCCCAGGGAGCAGTTAGGGGTTAGGTGGCTTGCTCAAGGGCACCCCGGCAGTGCACAGGAGGTGGAACTGGCACGTCTCCAGCTGCCTGTCTACACTCCATACTGTGGTCCATGCTGGACTTGAACCGGTGCCCCTCCAGTTGTGAAGCCAAGTCTGTACAGACTGAGCTACTGCCGCCCGATATATAGTGTGTACTGTGGATGAAACTGGGACACCGCATCTGTGTTTAAGATGCAGAGACACAGAACTCCATGTATGAATCATTATATAATCTCAATGTTTGAAGATATTTTTAATATGTTTGCTTTAGTGCATCCAGGTGTAGAGGCTTGATGTGAACTGCGCATTTCACACTTTCAGCCACCCCATCTCCATCCTTATGACCCAGTGGAATGTCAGATACTTTACCATAAACTGTTTATGATTTATCCAAAACAAACAAACACAAACTGAACACACACACACACACATAGCAGACCTTGCGTATGCTGATGGAGTCATGTATGAGGCCTTGTGTGAAGAAGAGGACAGCATCGGGGGGAAGTGGGTGATCATCTCTAAGCTGGAGAGACAACAAGTCTGTGGCCATGTGCTCAAACTTCCAGGGGCTGAAACACAAGCACAGACACATGCAAACAAGTCAGACAAAAAAAGGAATTCTGTATTGCAAAGTGGCGTGTTTTCACTACACTTTTGCGGTGAGTCGGCAGCATAATTTCTATTTTCAACCGTAACTTTTTCGATTTGCAAGCCAACATCACTGTCTAGAGCATGGGTCACCAACCTTTTTGAAACTGAGAGCTACTTCATGGGTACTGAGTCATGCGAAGGGCTACCAGTTTGATACACTTCTGAAATAACACATTTGCTCAGTTTGCCTATTTTTATATATTATTATTATTGATTAATGATACTCATCTATGTGAAGACACTGATCATGTTAATGATTTCTCACAATAATTATCAACAATGACTTAACAAGGTGAGAAACATCATAATTGATAATATCAATATTAAATTTTCATTTTTAGAACAGGCCTGCGGGCGACTCATGTGGTCCTAGGGGTTGACCTGGTGCCCGTGGGCACCGTGTTGGTGACCCCTGGTCTAGAGGCTGCAGGAAGAGTGCATTTTAAATAAAGACTATATAACATACCTCGCATAGTGTATTCTGAAGATTTTTATAAACATTAACAAGTGCATATACATATAACACATTTACAAGAGGAAAGAAAACCTACAGGTCTCTGTCTTCAAGGCAGTCCAAGAGATCATTGACCAGCTTCTCATATTTCCTGTACAAAAGAAAAAGGAGTTGTTAGTCAGTGGTACAACTCCTACCACTACATGCACTAATGGTAACAATAGTAAATAATACATTCTGGTGCTCTAGCTCTTCTGTAACCTTGAGAAAAACTGGTATGGCATTAAAACTAAATGAATGAACAAATAATACCAACTCTTTATATTCTTACCTTGCAGCAACCACATTTTTGATCCGCTGACGCTGAAGACCCTCTTTCAGCTCCTCTACCGACGGTGGCTCTAAACAAGGTGTGGGATTTTCAGAATGTGCGATAAGATTGGCTACTTCTACACATCCTTCAGATACCTGTGGAAATGTAGCGGAATTAAACAAAGGGGAGTTATCATTAAAAAAACATCAGATGAAGGGTAGCATCATATTGACTGTCAACTAAACACGCTGCTCACAGTAAAATAGATCCCTATGGTGTCGTGCTGGCGATGGATCCTGTCAGTGATGTCGTCAAGCAGTCGACCGATGGAGGCCTCCTCCAGGGTCATGGTGGGCAACAGGCCACAGCGGACCAGAGCAAGCCACACCTCCCCGACGCAGTCCCAGTCCCTCGCACTGGGCAGAGAAATACCACCGTGCAATGCCAGCAGGCAGTACAGAGCCCCCTGAGCAACGGAAACACACACAGAATAACGACACATGACAGATTGTACTGTATACGGCAGTATGAACATCTGAAGCATAAAGCAAAGAGCTGGATGTATCACAGTCTGAGTCAGAGAAATCTGGCCTTTTGTCTGAATTTGAAGGACACAACCCATGTATCTTTGCAGCTCAAATAATCTGTAAAATGCTGGTTGACTGACGCATTTAGGATGCTTTCACTTGAACAAGACCAATTAAAATGCCACAGTAGGATGCGAATAATAGAAACCTAAAAATCAGGCATAAACTCCATTGTTTTTGTTAGAAGAATGAACATTAGTTAGTGGATATATAGAGTGTTACAGTTCACCATTAATAACAGTTGTCCATTTAATGTTGGGGGGGAACAACACAACATGCATTACAAACTCATGATCATTCATTGTGTTTCCCACTAGTGTTTGTACCATGTTGGCTATTTAAGAGCATCTTGCTTGTGGTAAGATAGGTCACTTTGTGAGCTGCAAGTCAGTATCAAACCACTTACTGGACCTCATAAAACCTTTTGCTGGAAAATGACTGTCCTATCATTGTTTAGCAACCCCAGCTAGGCGAAGCAGCTCTTTTGGTTTGAGGCAAGTTTCAGCCAAATCATCAATTAGTTCTCATCCTCATGTTAGTAGAAACCTTGTTTGAAAATCCAAACAATATTTGTGTTTTGCTACAAAGAGCAATCGCACATGCAACGTTAGAGAGAAATATTAGGGTAATCTTGGGCTAAATGATGACTTGATGCTATCTTTTTCCCTGATTAAAGCTTTATCTTATCTCTTTATCTAGCATTTTTTAATTAATATATATTCTAATTAATATGTTATGGCATAAGCATGATATCATGTATGATAACAATACAATAATAACCTTAACTTGTATTTCCCTTTTTAAAAAACAAGCTAGCAAATTGCTTCACAGACATAAGAACCGATAAAACAGTCACATAAAATAAACATGATAAATATTCAATTTACAAGAACAAATATGTAATTTGGAGAGATAAAATTAAATTATTAAAAATAAAATTAACCGTCAAACTAATTAAAAGACAATTTGTAGAAATTAGTCTTTGGAAGAGCGTTAAAAGAGGACACTGGTGTTGATTTCTAATAGAAGACTTTTCGACTTTTTTGAAAGATCGTGCCCTAGACTTCAGGTTAAGATCAGGAGTGTAATGTGGGATGCGTCAGGGTCTAGCTGCCTTAAAAACAAGCAGTAAAACTAAAAAATCAATGCTGAAGGCCACAGGTGACCAATGCAGGTAGGCCAATATACTGTAGCCATTAAATACATATCGAAGACAAGGTTTTGGACTAACTTCAAGTTTCAGCACCACGGACAGTGACCCTTATGAGCAAGCCCAGAGCGATGTGTCACCATGTGCTACAGTGGCTGTGTGTGTGTGTGTGTGTGTGTGTGTGTGTGTGTGGTACCTTAAACTGCTGCTGTGTGCCATTGTGTTGTGGTGAGAGCAGTTGCAGGATTCTGGGAATCAGGTCTCTGTAGGAGAAGCTATAGGTTCCCAGTGCGGCTGTCAGCACATTCTGGGCCCTGCTACGTACCTACAAGGACATGCATACACACACACACACACACACACACACACACAGATATCAACACACAACATACACACACACACACACACACACAAACAGATGTACATGCATACATTCTCAATTCATTTCTATTTCACCAGAGATATTTATGTTAATACCATCAGGTAAATGGGAACCAGCAGATGTTCTGATTGAATTTTTCTTGTTAATTTGTCTTGTGTGTGGTTTTACCTGGCTGTAAGTGCTGGTAGAAAGCAGCAGCAGATTACAGAGCAGCTCCTGATGAACCACTTTATATTCACTGCCGTCAACCACCAGCTTCCTCATCTACTCACACAGAAATAACATTTTCAAATATTATAAAAACACCAACTTCTCACTGAGAATAAAAGAAAACATTTGCCTTCACGTGCATGTAATTACAGCTACATCTGCAACCCCACACAAGATGTATGTTTTGTCAAACTAACCTCATGCTGGAGCAGAACCCGGTCAATGAGCAATGCTCTAATGTGCTGCTTTTTCCCATGAAGCTGCAGAAGGAAATACGACATACTTAAATCACCCTGCAATTGACTCACTAAAACTGACAACAAACAGCAGCCTTGTTGCGCTTTCCAACTCACCCTGTTTTCCATGGACTTCTTGACAAGAGTGAAGCTCTTCCAACGTGAGTCAAACTCCTTCTTGTGAGTGCCTCGGAAAAACATGAGGTCACTGATGATCTGTAGTCAAACAGACAGGCAAAGGGCGCTGTGAGACCTCCGCAGGCCTACCACAGGGTAGAATAATAACATTCCACACATGAATAATAAAAAATCACAAGTGCTGGACACCTTAATGATGACAAAGAGTGACTTTGTGTCATCCTCCGAGTGCTCCAAGATGTGATCTGGATTGGAAAAGGTAGATATAGATTAATTGTGCATCACAATCACATTCCAAACAAAGTCAGGAGTTTAAGGTTTGAGTGCAATTGGAGTGGAATTTAAGTCTTCACTCACGTAGCAGCAGTCTCATGGTTTGGCAGATGGACTCTCTGTAATTCTCCCGTGAATCATCTGGAGGGGAGGAGACACACAGACGTCCCGTATGGACACAGAATGCAGGATGAGCGGCCTTATCATCAACTGAAACTGTGAGAGAGTGACTAGTGGGGCATGTGTGCTATTTGGCTGCTTGTTTGTGTTTTCTTACCGTAGTCAACACCTATATGCAGCTTGATCTCTCCCAGATTTACCATTGAGGGAACACTGAGAAGCAACAAAAGGCGAGGAGCAAAAACGTGACAAGCCTGCACAAAAAAAGTGTTTTTTTTTCATATACTATGTGTGTGTGTGTGTGTGTGTGTGTGTGTGTGTGTAGCTGTAGGACTCACAGGTCAGATACGTGTGGTCCATCCAGAGGGGGCAGCATGCTTCCAGCTCCAAGAAGGCAGTGCTGCACAATAGCAAGACTCTGCAACAGCTCCTCCCTGTGAATCAGACCACACGTTACAGTCCTTGTCATAGCAGTGTTTGTGTGTGTTATGAATTCACTTAGCATGTCTATAATGGTGTATCAACACTCATGAGAAGCTAAATTCAACCTCTCTCCGTCTGTGCTTCATCAAGAGTGTAAAGGCAGATATTAAAAACAGATGTTAAACTTCAGGTTTCTGGACGCAGACCAATCTAATTCATCAGTAATGAAAGGCCACTGGTTTCTTTGTTTTGTTTGTGTGTGTGCCTGATTACGTCTAAAGATGGAAAACTAGGGAAAATGACGGCACACCTGCTCATTGGCTGATCTCCAGAGACATGGCCCTTGATTCGCTGCAGCTCAGGGTGCAGGAGGCGGGACAACAGCTGGAAAACAAAGTTCTCCTCCTCCTGGCTAGGCACATGCCAACACATACCCAAGGCTGCCACATCTCCAGCTCTGCCCCAGTCCTGGAGAGAGAGAGAGAGAGAGAGAGAGAGAGAGAGAGAGAGAGAGAGAGAGAGAGAGAGAGAGAGAGAGAGAGAGAGAAGTTTTTCTCAGAAAGTTGTGGAGAAGTTTTCCACTGGAACAACTGGCAAGCAAACCGGTACATGCAATCCACCTCAAAACTACAGCCCTGTGTCATCTAGTGGTTTAAGTAATTGAAACACTTGTAAAGGGTAAGGACACTTATCAGTGGCAACACATTGATCTACTATCAGATGACAGACTAGCAGATGAATACGACGAGCAAAATACTGCAAAATGAGAAAGAAAATCAAATCTAAACAAAATGCAGACCATGAACTGCAGATGAAAAGAAGTCAGTAATTGAAATTGTGGAAAGCAGCCGAGGGACGTAGGTGTAAGTCCTGCCACTTAGACATCAAAGCAGAACCACACATCCCCCTCACTCATGTACAAAAACATGGTAAAATATTATCAAGGTTTTGGAGAAAAAAAAATAAAACATTCCAGAGAAGCTTTTCTTTCGGGGGTTGACAGAAATACTGCAGGGCAAGCAGCTCGGTTTGCCTCCCGCTGCCACAGAGTGAAACAGATATAAGAAAAATCACCTTTGAACTTTAATTTAGCAGCATTAAAGACAGATTACGCAACATTTAAAAAGAATAATTTAGCACATTGGTTGTATAAAATGATGAAAAGTTCAACTCATGAGCAAGTTAATGGGCCCTTTCTAAATTCAATATACACAGCCTCACTTGCCCTGGTGTTACTAATAGCTTATGGCGGTCAGCATTAGCTAATGTTGTAACTAATTCACTTTTTCAATTCTATTTTACTTTTACACTAGTTATAGTATTGATTATTATCCTGTTGCCCAATCAGAGCTTAGTGGGTGGGGTTATTAATCTCCCATAGCTAGCAGTACATTGCTAGCTTCTGATGTCATGATGTCTGTGGGTCGATACATCACTCTGTACTGATTGGTTGGGGCAAAACAAAACAAAATAACCCTCATCCTAACAAGAAATCACCTAACATGGACACAGTGACTGAATGAATTAAATAGAACCACTCAACGCAGGTCCAGTGTGTAACATTGAGGAGAATCTATTGACAGTAATGAAATATAATATTTGGTTTATATATTACATATATTCATATATTATTATTTAGTGTACAATCACCTGAATATAATAATCATTGTGTTTTTGTTACCTTAAAATGGGACGTTTTTATCTACAGTCTTCCATGGAGTTCCCCATGTTTCCAGAATGGACAAACACTGGTTGTCGATGGGGCCTTTCGCGTTTTTCTCCTACACACTTCACCACTAGATGCCACTAACTCCTCCAGACTGTTCCTTTAAAATGAAGCAATATCTACCTGTGACCTCTCATTGCAGGTGAATTGTGACCAGCTCATCTAAAGAATGTTTCCTCTCTTTCTTTAATCACCTTGTGACCCTTTGGGGGTCCCACTCCCCAAGTTGGGAACCACTATCTTAGACGAATGAAGGCTTTCTCTTTACAGTTTATGTTCACGTTCCATGTGAGTAGATTCTGTCATAATCATCCTTTCTTTCTTGTCTATTCTCTGTGTACTTTAACAGCAAACATTTATCTACATTATTTAGTTACATAAGTTTATTTGTTTCTACTTGAAGATAAAGAGAGACAGTGACTGAGAGAGAGCAGTATTAGCAGTGTATGGTCCAGCAGTGTAGCCATTTAATTTCAATTTGATAAATGCTTTCTAATTCTCTTAATGGAAACGGAAATTGTATAGCAATTACTGAACCTGTAACAGCCCATTTAATTAAACTGTGAGGAAGAGAAGTTTTAAAGGTTTTACTTGTGGCATTTTGTGTTTCAAAGAAACCTTGTTCCAGACTAGATACTACAATGGCTGTGATAACTGCCAATTTACATTTGAGGAGGAAACTATGCATTTAAAGTAGTAGTAGGACTGGATTTAAAGATATAATATGCAACATTTCCACAATAAAATTTCTATAAACATTAGACCTATGTTATATATTTTGTTGAATTGTGTACTTATATTGGTCATTTTTGACTTTATATTTTAACCGGATGAAGGATTTCAGTCATCAGACGGTATTAGAGAAACAAGCTGAGCTAACGTTAGCAGCAGCTCGGCTGACAGGGACGTCCTTTGTCTGGCAAAAAGCGTTGATTTTTAAGGTGAAACTGCATTATTCAGTGTTTTTAGCAGTTTTAATCACCAGGTCTGTTTGTTTTGGAGCGGAGGAGACCTCTGCAGATAATTGGACCGGCGGTAGAAACCTCCTGAAAGATGAACACTGAAGGAATCCTAACCGGGAGAAGCTGACTGCAGTGACAGCAATGGCGGTAAAGACAACAACTCCCATGATAAATATTGTACTTTTAGATGATTAAATATTAAAGACTGTTTTGTCTTTTAAATGAATCTTCCTGTGTGCCATATAGAATTGCAGAGGTTCCTGTGTTTACCCGTATAGGCAGGTCAGTATCGAAGCCTCCAGAGGTGCTGCGGTACTCGGTGGGATAGATGAGGGACAGCGACCGGAGTGTGTGCTCCAGGAGATTGCAGGCGAGTGTGTACGCCCGTTTGCAGCGGAGACGCACACACACACACAGGATCCGCTCCAGGTCCCCTTGGTATTTTAACAGCTGTTCACCATCCACACGGGTTACCTAAAAACAACACACACACAAGTACATGCACACACACACACACACACACACACACACACACACACACACACACACACACACACACACACAGACACAGGCAATTCAGTGGGGAGTTGTGTCTTAAATATTGAGGTTCTCCAATAAATCACAGCATCTGGCTCGCTCCCACTCGCATTAAGCTCCCAGGAGTAATAAAACAAAGCAGAAAGGGTATCAATATGTTCTGGTTAACGACAAAGCGCTTTGATATTTATGACCATACTGGGTGCACGCTGCAAAAAATGTCATTTGGTCATCATTTTTTTCTCATACAATGTCACAATGATATTCTTATTGTTTAAAACGAGTGCAAATGTCTCCCTGTTCCACACTTTTTATGTGTTTTATATTTTATTCTGAACTTTCGTAGAAACACATAAAGAGACCTCGATTAAAAGGAGACCAGACAAATCACTTCAGTAGTAGTGAAGGAACGGCTCCAAAATATTCTCAAAACAAATTGATCTGTAATGAAATATACAGACAGTACTGGCGGACTTTTCTATTATTTTAAGATTAACTAACATTTTTAGACACAAACATGAACTCATATTTTTTAGAGTGTTGAAGCCCTTGGGATGCTATAGATCCTCGTCTCACCTCGGAGAGCAGCTGGAGATTCCACAACAGCTCCTTATCCAGCTCGTCTTCACCCGGCAACTCCTCATCTACACACACACACACACACACACACACACACACACACACACACAGAGAAGCTGAACAATGTACTGTATTGCTCCCCTGACAGACTGATCTCATTTTGCTGAATGTCGGGGTCATTTCAGTTTTTAGTCATCAGCAATGTCGGATTGTCAGTCAGTAGTCACTGCGGTCCAGAATGACATATTTCAACATCTACTGGATGGATTGCAATGAAATTCTCTACAGGCATTCATGGTCCCCAGAGGTTGAGGCCTAAACACTTTGGCAGTCCCCAGATTTGTCCTCTAGTGACACCACGAGGTTGACATATGTGGTAAAGAGCCACTATCGTCAAAAATCGAATTGGTTGTTTATGACCAAATACCTGCACAATTGCATTCCCATCAGCCTCAGCAGAACTTTCTGTTTGCATGCTAACACGCTAAACTAAGGTAGTAAACAAAAATGATGACATGAGCATGTAATTGTGAGTATGTTGGCATGCAGAAAATTAGCATTAAGCATTAAAATACAGCTGTCCCTAAGTACTGTATAGTTTCACCGAGGTGCTAGCATGGCTGTACACGTTTGAGTGTTTTATAAAAATCCAATAAAGAAAAAACATGCCTATACCTAAATAAATTGTATTTCTTGCTGGGTAAGTCACCACATTACCAACTCAAATGTTATGTTCTTAAAACCTTTGTTCCATTAAGCCAGTGCTTTAACAACCAGCTGCTAGGCTGAACAATATCTAATCAAAAAACAATTTTGATTCAGAATACTCTAATAACTTCACCCTGCGTCTAATAAGATCTCTTAATTGTTCTGAGATAACTGTGATCTGATAATGTGTTAAAAACCTGAAGATTTATCTTTACTGTGCAAACTCTGGTTTTCATTTAGCAGCTTGTCAATAAAAACTCATTAGATTCTAAAGGCCCTCGGATGGTCTTCATGAAAACACACTACACTTAACGCTACACACACACTACACCGTTCTACACACACGCACACGGTGTGGTACTGACTGTCAGTAATGTGGAAAATGACGCTGCAGCAGTGAGGGACGAACAGACGGAGAGACTCAGCGGGATGACACTGCAAACAGACACACACATACATATTTAGATGCCCAAGCTGAAAACGAAACATGCAGAAAAATTTTAAAGAAAATTAAGCGAAGTAAAATAACCTGTATAAATACTTAAAATTAAGTGAGTGTAACTACAGTATGATATGTATGTGGGGGTGGTGAATGAAAACAATCTGATGAAAAAAACTACATTTGTATCATACATGATAAAGTTGTATCATGTATTAATATCTGATAAAGACACATACATACCTTAGCAGCGGCTCTGCACATGTCAGCCACCATCCTGCCAGACACACACGTCTCAAAGATGTTGGAGGTGGCAAAGTTATACACCTTCTGCAACGCCATCTAACACAAAGGCCAAGTTTGGAAGTTTGGATCAGATGGTGCATATGTGCTACTTAATGGGTACTATGTGTTTTTCCTGTGTCAAATTTTCCACAGACATCACACAAGAGTTACAGATTAAGTGTAACTAATAATATAAGCCATATTTTGGGAAACTCAACAGTTCCACAGCAACAGCTGCTACCATTCATCAGGGGTTATATGAGACTAATACTGTGGAGATGATAGAAGACATAGCACTGATTATATTCAAAGTACTCAGCTAGATCATGGGGACTGTGGCTGCTAAATTGTGTTGTAATAGTAACAATGACTATCTTTATAATACAATCACTTTTCTATTAGGGTTAACTTTTATATTTCTCTATAACATCAAATATTCATGATTAAATAAACAACCATCAAGTTTAAAAAAACTGATTATTTATGTATTATTTATCTATTTATTTAAAAGGACCAGTGTGTAGAATTTACTGAAATCATAGGATTTACTAGAAACTACAGTGGCTGTGAAAGTCACAAAAAATGCAACATGCACTATCTACAGTCAGTGTTTGGTTGTCCATTCTGGGCTACTGTAGAAACAATAGTAGGGCGGACTCAGTATGAGAGGAGCCGCTTCCTCTGTAGATAAAAATGGCTTATTCGAATGTAACAAAAACACACTGATTCTTATTTTCAGGTGATTATACACTAATGAAAACATAGCTTGAAATATTACATTCAATTTCTGCAAATAGATTCTCCAAAATGTTACACACTGCACCTTTAATAATTAAAAGTCAGCTACACTACTTGTTATTACATTTAGCTATATCCTGCACAGTGGAATCTCTCAAGTCAAATAACCTAAACAGTTCCAACGTTGTCAAAACATTTTGTATTCATGTAGCACTCATAGTAAGGAGCTGATTTAGTGAATTAAGTTTCAGGGCATTTAAGGTTAGCCGTCTGTATTAGAACTGTTTAGCTCAGGTTTGGGATTAGTGAATTAATGGACTTAAAAGAGAGTGACGTTGCCTTTAAGTCAAGGATGTACTGGTGAGTGTCTGAGTGTGTGTGTGTGTGTGTGTGTGTGCTACCTTGTATATTTCTGTGGAGCATTGTGTTAGGATGGTGTTAACAGTAGAGGACAGGCCCAGCTCCACCAGGCTCTCGAGATGAGTCTGGGTATCTGTTTCCATCTCATCACGCGTCTGTTCCAGGGTGCTGCTGTCTATCAGAGCAAAACACCTGCACGAGCACAGACACACACATACATACAAAAGGCACACACTTATGCACTTGTCAGCAGTGAAAATGTCAACATCGTTACGGTGAAAGAGGCTGTTTTACGTGGATGCAGACCGGTGCATTTCAAACAGGAAGAGATACACTCATACTCAGACGCTGACAACAAGGCTTAACAAAGTGACAGTTTGACTTGTTAATTTGTCTCTACCTGTCCAGAAACTGGAGAACGAAGTCTTCAAATTCAGCTGAAGCAAAACACAGATCTTTCTCAATCTGAGGAGGCGAAACAGAAATGACTGGTTAGTGTATTTGTATAATATGAGAATATTAGATTTTAAGTCATTACTGTGTGTGGGCTAGTTTTATTTCCAAATAATTAAAGGAATTGTTCAACATTTTGGGAAATATGCTCATTCGCTCGAGGGTTACACAAGAAGATGGATACCGCTCTCATGTTTTTACGCTAAATAAGAAGGCGTTTAGCTTAGCTTAGCTTAGCATAAAGACTGGAAGCAGAAGGAAACCAAGCTAGCCTTACCATACTGCGCATCACCAGTTCACAACTTGGTTTGTACTAAGCAAAAGCTGGCTGCATATTTAGTCTACCGTACAGACCACATACATGAGAGTGGTATCAATCTATTGATCTAACTCTTTAAAAATGTCAAACAATTCCTTCAATAAAAAAGGGAGATGGTCTTCAAATGATTAAGGCAAAGTAACAACATTTTGTAAATATTATTTAACCTCTTTTCTGACTAAATTAATGCGTCTGTACCTCTGTGAGATCACTGTGTCGCGAAGGAGCAGACGAACAATCCACTAAAGGCACCAGAGTGGTGAAGGTGGCGATGAACTGGAACGTAATCTGGACAGAGCAACACAGCGGGAAACAGATCAATTTACATCATCTGACGTGGTCAAGGCCTAAATTAAATAACCCAACAGATGTCGGTGGAATAACTTTTTCAAATGTATTAATTCATTCTGGCGTGATGGATTAATGTAGTCTGGAGACAATGAGCAAACCAAGAAAGAAAACCAATCCATTTTACAATCCAAGCAGAAACTGAGGACTGAGCCTCAGTAATTGCGAACTCTTCAAACTGAGATATTCATTCCACTTTCAGGAATTATTAATAGGATAGACCAGAGTACGCTGGAAGGGAATTTAATCAGCAAGAGCTGTATTGTCTACTTGTCTAACAATTCTTCTTCATTACTAATCAACACATCCATTACTCACCATGCACTTGCTGAAGTCGTTGGGGTCCACCCCTGGCAGAGAGCCCATGAGCAGTGGAAGCACGTGTGCACGGCCCTCTGGGTAGTGGTTGTTAGGGGAAACCAGGCTGCGAGCCATGCCAATCATGCAGCTGAGAGTGGCGGTGAGGGTATGCGGCTCCGTCAGGGTCTCCATCGCTGCATAGGTCCTGTTATACACAAGGTACAAGAAGGTAAAGAGCAAAATGAGATGATGGGAGAGAACTTTGAAATTGAAATTGAACTTAGCACCTGATTGCTGCAATTTGCAGATACATTCAAATTCCTTCTCAGAGTTACGAACACACGGGCATGATACACATATTTTTAGATTCAATGTGACTTCCTGAGGATATCATTATTTATATTTCCATCGTGCATAAACGCCTAAATCTGCTTAGAAAGAGATGTTCCTCATTCATATCTGCAGAACTTGCCTGGGAATCTTCACGTCTTTAAGTGTTCTTCAGTATCAAAGTAATCCAGTGACAGTTGTCTGTACATCCATGGATACATTACTAACAGGAGCTGCTAATAGCTAATTTAGCATCCATATAATGGTGCCAATCTGCAAAAATATAATGCTCCATGGTGACATTATACTTCCTGTTTACATCCCAGAAAACCCCCAAATTATGGGAATTGTTTTGTTTACAAATCACAGAAAAATGCAGAATAATAATAGGAGTTACAACAGCCATTAATACGTTTTTACAGGTTGCACTGTCAATATTGGTTTTGACAGTAGGCTTCATGGCAGATATTTCACACAAACACTTACTTCTCAAGTACAGGTGGTATGGCTAGTTCTGGTGTGAGGAGAGCCAGGTTCTGAAGAGCGTAGGCTGCATCCGTACTGCCGGTTTTACTGCACATCACCAGAAGAGGGCAGATGAACACAGAACAACATACAGTACAGTGTCGTCAACAACACACACACACAGACACAGATAATCACAGATGACCTGTGTTTGTCCAGATTAGGCTTGCTGTTGCTGAGGCCTCCGTCTTGAGGCCAGTCACTGCGCTCGTGAGACACAGCAGGGTTTGGACTTAGATAACTGATTGGCACTGATTCCTGTGGCGTGTTTACATGGCAGCAATCCACACTGATGTGACGACTTGTAGGTCAAAACTATTTAAAACTGGGTTAAATTTGAAAAACTCAGGTAATTCAGATGTTTAGGTTTCATATAACCATTGTTTTACATACATTTCAAGCACCTCCTAACTACACACTGAAATAGATTCAATGCTGTTGAGATAATGGTTAAAAGTTACCTACATGTCTCCAGAACGTTCACTTTTCAGCCAAATTTAGCCCTGCCAATCACCAAAACAGTTTCGCTAGCTGTGATATTTAGCAGAAAAGGGACATTATTTTTTAGATAAAACTAATAACTGGAAAGTGTGAAGCCAAATATGCCATCAGAATCTATTCTAAACTGAACTTCTGGCTCAAAAGATGGATGTCTTAGAGATTTCGGTCATTAAATGTGGGTTATAAAGACCACTGATTGGCTCTGACTGTGCAACAGAACGCTCACACTACTCCCACAATGACACCTATATTTCTGCCTGAGTAGAAATAGTATCTATCAGACTTCCCACACACTGTCTTTGTTTTTAAATGTCATCTTACAAGCTATTTTTACAGAACAGCTTGTCTTAAAAGCTAATATCAAATTATTTCGGCTTCTCTCTCTCTTTCGTTTGATTCTATTATTGTAAGCTTACTTTTTCACTAATACTTTTCCACTATGATGTCTTACGTGTTGCTTAATTTGTTTCATGCTTTTGCTTTCAAGGCCTCTTATGTCCTCTAATTAAATTTTATCTTTTTACCACTTTGTACATCTTTCTTTAAAAGTGCTCTATAAATAAATCACTTGCTGAATAATGCTGACTCACTGTGTTGTATTTCTAGTGATCCAACTGTTAGAAAGAAATGATCTTATATGATGCCAGTGAATGTGTACAAATATGCATCACATGTATAGTGTATCTTGTTTAAATGAAGGAATATGTGTTTGTATGTGTGGATGTATGCATGTACATGTGTTATAATCCTTATAGTAATAGAATTCCAAGGATGTTACAATTTCTCCATATCTCTTATGTTGAAACATAGGTCTAACTATGTAAGATTACACACATAAAGATAGGTTGTAGTTTCATTTAAGTAGTTAAAGTATTATGGCAAACAACCACCAACATGCAGTACCTGAACATGGCCAGCAGGGCGGCCCCGATGAGGCTTCGGGTGAACTCTTGCAAGTCTGTATCAGTCAACCTCTGACACTCAGGAACCAGCATGATCCAGCTGGGGGCAGCATGACGTTCCCGGTGCACGCGACGCACAACGCTCGCTGGGAGACGCTGAAGCAGCCGCATAAGTCGAGACTGCAGGCAAACACACACACACACACACACCCACACATATTCAACATTAGCGTTATCATCCAGAGACACATTCAGACAGTCTGCAGTAAACAGATCTGTGATATCGTTCTTTTCTCCGGCACTCGTGCATTTCATTATTGCCTTGTTAGTGCGGAGAGAGCCCGCCAAGTCCTGAGTGACAGGTTATAAATCAAAGGAGTGTGACAGGAAGCAGCTGAAAATGTGTTCACAACTCGCTCCGAGTGTGTGCATGTGCGTGTGTGTGTGTGTGTGTGTGTGTGTGTGTGTGTGTGTGTGTGTGTGTGAGGGGGAGAGAAAGAGACTTACCTGCCAGCGACCATGATTGGAGGGATGGTAGAAGGAGGCGATGCTGTTAAAAAGGCAGGTCAGCTCCTTCTGTGCAGGATTTCCTGGTCCACCCTGCAGGAATATAAATCAACAAGATAATTAAGTAGCTGCAATAAAAAATAGACATGTTTTTTAATGTGTTATTAAGATAAAAAGTCAGCAGAGTGTGTACCAGAAGCGCTGTGATCCACAACACCAAGTGTCCAATGTCATAGGAGTTGGTGAGATACCGCGGTGCCACCATCTGACTGACCCCAACTGGAAGGTTCAGACTGCGCAGGATCCTGGTGAAGATCTAGTGTAGAGTTTCATCTCATTAACGTGGTCCAGCAGTCCCAAATAGAATACATTAACAGAAACCCTTTGATATCCACATAATTCTGTTAATGACTCACTGTGGGAATATACGGGGTCCAGTCCACGTAGCCGATGTTATCGTTGGCGAGGCGAGCAAACAGGTTCACGAGGTGCTGCAAGACAACATAACACAAACAATCACTGCGAGTACAAAGAACATTCCCAGAAGTGAAGGCTGTCATTCCAAGAAATAAATATAGCTGCTTTGCAAGAAAAAAAAAAGGAGATGTTCAAGAAGAGAGGAAGAGTGCACAGCCAGGCCGTTGTGAGGCCAGGAGGCTGGATGACAGCAGAGCGGAGGCACAAATGGAAAATCTTATCTGCATGCCGAGTGGAAACTTAAAGCCAATACTTTAACAACATTTCAACATTTCAATCATCATCATCAGGAAATGTAGGAAAGTGTGTCAATTCAAATTACTCAATCCATTTTTAGGGAACTGGAAAGCTACGTGGTTCATTGCTCAATCATTTAAAAATATTTTCAAAAATCCACCGCTTGTTGTTGCAGATTTATATGGAAAATTGAGAGGTGGAATTTTCACATTCATTTCAGCTTTAAGTATCTTTGCTGTGGCATGAAGATTTTAACTTTCAAGCCAGTGAACAGTTTGTAGGTGTCAAATAATTAAAAAAATACCTGAAATATTGTGTGTGCATTTGTGTATGTGTGTGTCTCACCCCTTCCCAGCTGGGCTGATTTTGCACCGACGTCCAAAGACTCATTAATTCATCGAACCACAACCTGAAAATACGCAAAAAAAACAACATTATATTGACACACACACCTGAAGCTGAATTCCCCTCAACTATCTCCAATTCCCCAACATATAAACTCCACTCCCTCCCTTGTAGACTCTGAAGGAGAGAGAAAAAGAGAATCGGAAAAATAGAGTATTGAAGATGATGTATTGTGGAAACTGCGCGGAAACCGCTGATGAATCCAAGACTAAATCAGGACAAATAGCATGTGAAAGAGTGAACACAGTGAAGAATGCAGTGAACACAGTGAAGAGCCTTGGTAGCTGGAACACAACCATGAATGGTGCGAAGAGAGAAGGGACAAAGGCTTTCCAATGAAGCAAAATATTAGCAAAAGAAGGAGACAGTAAGCACTGGTAACGCAAGGAGGACATTATTTATTGAAACTCCTGGGTGCACAGGGTCTGAAAATGTGGTCATACTTTGGTCATACATGACATGCACTTTTAAGGCAGTGCACGGCCACAGGATCCACACTAATTTAGGTTTCCATCCCGGGATCAAAAATGGTCACAAAAATGCAACACACTCTACCTTTTTCTGCTGGCAGAGATTGTTCTATAAATAAACAAAGGGGTGCTTTTGCTAAAACTTTATAAACCCTTTGTGTTAGCTCTGGCCGAGTCAAGCTGCACTTGGCGTATAATCCGGTTTTTAAACAGAGCCATTCAAGTTGGCCCACTTACTGGAAGGCCTGGCTGTGTTCCTCCGGGGGCATGATGGTGGGCAGGAACAGCTCCATGTTGCTGATGGCCTTCTGCATAACTACGTCAAACACGCACAGCAGGGGGCGCCACTCATCCAGCATCTCCTTGGTGGACGATGCAGGGAAATACCTGGGAAAATCACAAGAACACACAGAAACACACACGCAAGCAAGGACAGACGTGAGTGCAAATAGATGCAGACAAGCAAAGACAGACTGGAGATACACATACACACATTGATCTACAGTACACAGCTCAACTGAAGATCAAAGCAATACATTATCCGCCGAACAAATTACATGATCACAGAGGATGAGGACTTACAGTCTGCAGCTTTTGATCAAAGCCTTCAAAATGTGGTCCACTGAGCTGCAAACAAGCGGAGAGAGGAGGTGTGTGAGTGTTTGTTTGTGGAGGAGTTACGCTTTCACTATCTTGTGAGATCCGCATGGCCTCACCGAAGTTTAAAAAGCCATCAACATTCATGCTGCAACTAAAAGTTATTTTTCGCAATCAGCCAATCTGTTGGTTATTTTTTCAATTAATCTTTTAGTCAATAAAATGTCAGAAAATAGCGCACATAAAGAGTTCCCCGAGCCCAAGGTGACATGTTAAAATATCTTGTTTTGTCTGACTAACAGTCCAAAGATAATAGGTTTACAGCAATTCTTACAGCAAGAGAAACCAGATACTGTTTGACATCAATAATTGACTATTCCTAACCATTAATTATTTATTTCACTTTCTAAATTCTTTAGGAAAGAGGTTAACTTTTGGACTTTTGGAATAGAAATGTAACAGAACCATACGAATGTACTTATCCCCCAGTTTGCTTTCTTGCAGGGAGTTAGATGAGAATATTGGTACCACTCTCATGTCTGTACAATAAATACGAAGCTACAGCCAGTAGTTGGCTGATGAGTGAGAAACAGCTGGTTCTGTCAAAAAATAACTAAATCAGTCTACCAGCAGTTTTTCTGTTTCTGGTCTTTATGCTAAGCAAGCTAAGTTAGCTGGCTGCTGGCTATAGCTTCATACTTAGAATACATACACGAGAGTGGTATTCATTTCCTCATTTAACTCCCAGCAAGAGGCAAAAAATCCCTAAATGTCACACTTTTCCTTTAATGCAGGTATGTATTCAAGGTTTGGGTATGCAATAAACATTTATAGACCTTTAAAATTAAATAATGGGGTATAAAACCAGTTAAATCAACAGGAAGTGCATATAAAGGAAGGCAATTCAGTGCTCCAACCTTTTGCAACAGGTCAATATAAAGGTAAAACGTCATACTTGGGGAACCAGATGAGTCCAAGGTGCTCCGTTTTGGAGTAGACGACCCTCTCGTACAGATCATAGAGTGGTCGCCATGGCAACTGAAGGTCATCCCTTGACAGTAGTTCCTTCTTCCTGTTTGACAAAAAAAAGGAGGAAAAAAAGCAAATTATCGCCTGTCCTCTTTATTAGGATTTTGCAGGTCTTCAGTCAGGTACTTTAATATTAAAACCTATGAGGGAAAAAAAAAAAAACCCAGTCAAGACAAAATGATGGTAATAATGTTATATTGAAGTGAGAAACTACAGGGTGTCTGAAAGAGTCTGTAATTGTGTGAAAATGAGTCACTACCTCACAGGCTGAACTCAACATAATGATGACAACTTCCAGACATGTGTGCAAACATAACACTGTGATTCTTTTTATTAAATAAAGCATAACTGGACTGATGGCTGCAGACATGAGTAATTTGCAGGTGTAGACTCAGCTGGGATAAAATGCTCACAATACAACCTCCCTTTGAGGGACTCCGGAGAGAGAAATTTAGAGGGCTTAAGATCTGAAAGGAGACACAACCAGCTATCTGCAAGCTGTGAAGTTACCTTTTACTATGATTGTTGATTTTTCAAACATCCTGTTAAGCTTTTAAATTGCACGGTAACCGCCAGTGTGCCACCGATGAGGACTTTATAAGCTATAAAAGGCAGCAGCTTTTTTAAATCCTCCTGAGAGACTTTCACATTGCTTTCTTTGTATTCTATTACTTAGTTCTTTGTAAAAATCACACTTTTTATGGGAATAAGCCCCACAGAAAAGTCAAGAGTGAAGAATATGCACAATTTCCACAGCCTCAGATTCCTCTTGTCTCCTCCTCTCTCATTCATCTAACAGCTATGGAACAGACTCTCATTGGGGAGGTTTGAAAAATGAAGGAAAGAAGAGACAATCAGGGAAATGACGGTGAAATGTGAGGGAAGAAAAAAAAAGAAGCCTATTGAGACCCGATGCGTGATGTTGAGTATCAAATTCATCTCTCAGTTGTGAGACCTGGCACTTAATATACGGTTAGCCCAGATCTTTCTCTTTTCATCTAATGGAAAACATTCAGACAAATGACATCTACATTAAGGTGTTGTTTTGTGATGGATGTGAAAATCATGGAAACAACTGGAGACAAATGAGAAGTGATGAATGTGACCGTCTTGGAGAATATCCTGCAGTCGCTGATCTGAGAGACAAAAGCAGGGAGTACTGTTAGGCCAACATACTTCACTGTCGTTTTTACTTACCATGATTGTGTGTGTAACTAACTACATTTACTCAAGAACTCTACTTACTGTGCTTTGTCCATTTTATGCTACTTTAAATATTTACTTGACTACATTTTAGAGAGAAACCAAAACGAGAGATTTCCCATCTAAACTTGTAAGATTATTTCATTTAAATAACTGTTAGACACCATTAGTGGTCAACTGATTCAATATTTACAAGATACGAGAAAAGCAAATATTAGAGGAAAGGACAAAAAAAACAATGCAACTTTGTGTAGAAAAACTTTTTATACCACATTAATCATCTAATGACGCCCCCAGATTTACTTTGTGACCCTTTGAGGGGGCTTGACTCCTATGTTGAGAACACGGGACTAAACTACCAAACTAAGTGAAAGTATTAACACCTATTATCTCACTCACAGGGGCCATTTTTAAGAGCAGACTGACTAACTTTACTTTTGAAACAGCAGTTTTATGATGATAATTAGCAGGATTCTGAATGAAGAGCTTTTGCCTGTAATGGAGAATTTCTGTTGTACTACCTTTAGCAAAAAGTCTTCTTCTGCCACTGGTCAACTAACTCTGACTTTGTATGATTCATATGATTGTCACATTTTTTATAACCACTCCAAAAAACATACATATAAGTTACATTGTATGACTGAACTGCCATTTGATTTTCACTCCATCTACACTGAAAACATATAATATTGTTAAATAATATAATATTGTGTTGCCCTTGTGTGCCTTTTCTTAGAAATATAGAATGAATATCTATCAATCTAAATACTGGACAGAAATTTTTGTTACCCTGTCTGAGGATGTTGGGGAGGAAATTTAACCTAATGCTCTTAGTGTGCTGTTTGTGGTTACGCCTTCATTACCTTCCCTCCACATGTGCCAAAAGTATGTCACAGTAAAGCCTTTACAACCCCGTTAGCCAGACGTCTAATACTGACACCTGGACATCAACGATCCCTCCCTCTCATACTCTGGATTAGAGATATTGTATATTTTATCTGATTGGAAATTGTATTTGTATTCAGTGTGATGTGGTATTGCAGGTCTTAATTGTACATATTTCGTTATCTCTGTCTTTACTTTCCATGTTTTTTTGTATATACCTTGCTGGCACGTGTTCTGTGTTGTGTCCTGTATAATTGACAGGACAGCTGGAGATAGACAGGAAACGGGGAGAGAGAGAGGGGATGACAGGCAGCAAAGGGCCACAGGTCAGAAGACTCTAGGTGAGTACACTGAGTACTTTCTAAATTCCCTTTTCAAGTCTGCAAGTAATCTAAAGCTCCAAAATGGCAGCGATCCAAATGGCATACAGGTAAGTGGAAAATCCACTTTAACACGTCATTTGTCTTGACATCAGTATACCACTTCTAGTGTTTACCAATCGGCCTGGTCTCTGATCTAATTATACTAGAGGATACTAAAGGACAAGAGAGACTAATGCTGGGGGAGTCAGTGTTTTATTTTTCATGCAGTTCTTCTCCTGTGCTGTACTTCATAGTATATCAGGCTACCTTGATATACTTCCCTCCAGCTATAACCCCCTCCCCCCCGCTTGCTCATCCTAGGGGATCCCAAGGTATTCCCAGGCCAGATGGGATATGTAATCCCTCATGTTCTGGGTCTGCAGAGAGACATCCTCATCGGATGCTTGAACCACCTCAACTGACTTCTTTTATTCATGCGAAGGAGAAAGGTGTGGCTCTCTGAGCTCAATCCAGACGTCTGAGCTCCTCACCCTGTCCCTAAGGGGTGAGGAGTTCAGACATCTCTTATGCACTTTTTGTGTATGCCCTGTGTGTTTGTGTCACACCCACTTGAGAAGCTGAATGAGGAGCCTGGCGTAGCTCTGCATCATGTGAGGCTCCAGGTCTGGGAGCGTGACCAACTCATAGAGCAGCTTGATGAAGAGAATATGGTCTTCTTTACTGAACCTCCGGCCGTACAGCTTCAGAAACCTGAGGGTTGGAGGTTTGGGAGAGGGGGAGGGGTGAGGGCAGAGAAAGGTGAGCTGATCACTTCCCGCCTCCTGCAACTGACCCATATCCTTACACACAGTAAATACACAGCTTCAGGGGAATCTGAGTTTATGCCAAATGGACAAAGTGAATTAAAAGTCCTGGCTTTATTTAAAGTGCAGAACATGATGCCCCGATGAAGATCAGTAACACCAGGAAGTCTCCTCTTTCACCGCTCATATGACACTGATATTTGGTACCTTATCCCCCATTTGTTTAAGTGCAATACACTCTTGAAGACCTAATACTGAATATGTGGGTTTCAAAGTTAACATTGATTATTGAATGTGTAAGGAAATGCTGCCCAATGAAATTCAATCTAATACCCCTGTGACAAATATCATTGCACATTTATGAAGCTAGAAAAGTATTTATGCAACTCTGTGGCAACTTGTGAGGCTGTGGATTGTGTTTTGGTTTGATTTTTGGACAAAATATACACAGCCAATCCAATACAACAGCCTCAAAAATGACCTTAAAGCCTAAATGAGCTGCTATATAGATCCCTATCAAGAATCATAAGTGACTCTGTGTGGGTTTAACTTCTTGCTTCAACACTTACGAGAACAGTTTCTTGCACCAGAAAGCGACCCCGGGCCATAGCTCTCTGAGGAGGACCGCTCTGGACAGGTTCGCTTTGATCTCCGCCAACAGTTCCGTGGCCTCCCGGTCCAACCGGTCCGAGTAAGGCAGCAAACCGTTATACACAATCTCCTTCTGAGGGACGAACCCAGCCATATCCCCATCCGCTGTCATTTCCCACTGATACACAGGTCACTTTCTGCTGTACGGGCGCGAAAACGGTTCCTCTTTATCTAATGAATGCTGTGCCTCTTTGGATGCGCGCTGTCCAAGTTAGTGGGCATAATCCGCTGTGTCCAGCAAACCGGGCGGAAGGCAGGCGATCACAGGGGGAAAGTGTGTCACGCTAATTGAGCTGTGCAAAGCCCTGAGCGCAGAGGGCCGGTTCCGCTCTGACCTGCAATGTCAGGCGCTGCGTCACCTCTCGCTTCACACCTCACAGATATCCACCGGGGTTCGTGCACCCGCCGTGACGAACGACAGGGGGTCGGGAAAAAATGACTAGCCCACAGGTTGTTAGAGAGGGGCCATTAATGTATGGCCAGGCTTTGATTTCAGCACCACTGAGCCTAATGAGAGAAGGCTTTGATATGTGAAGGCTTTCTTCTAAGGGTAGTGGGTGGATGGTGGACTCTAGGAGGAAACCAGGAGTGCATCATTCTGGACTACAAATCCCAGAAGGCCTGCGTGCTGCGAGCTAATCTGCAGAATAATAGGATGATCTGATAACTGGATTAATGTCCCTCTCCTGTTCTACTGACCCACAGTGGCTGTTATTGTGATAAACAAAGGGATGTCTGCCAAATGCATTTAGTTAGTCAGCATCTATCTATCTATCTATCTATCTTTCTTTCTATCTATCTATCTATCTATATATATATATATATATATCATGCCAGCATTTATTTATCTCTGCACTGAAATGTACCATAAATAAATAAATCACCAGTTCCCATGTCTACCTTTGCTGACTTACAACATTTTTGTCCCTGACCTTCTCCAATCTTGCGTTACTGTACACCCTTCCATGTAAATCCTTTTACTTTAATCCCATGTAATTCTCTGACCACTACATGCTTAAAGTGGTGCCGGCAATTGCAGGATATTGTCTGGCCTGCCTAGCTGGTAAGGTTGCTGCTCACAGTGAGGGCTGAGAGAAGAATGCAACAGCCCTTTGAGTTCTTTTACCTTTAGAGAAATGGGGCAATTGCCGCAGCTCCACCTCAGCCCTTTTCTCAAGCTGCCTGATTGCATAAAGTACCCTGTTTCTCAACCCTGCCTCCATCTCACCAGCGGCCTTCCGGTTGCTTTTTCAGATCTGTCCGCTGCCCATGATAGCCCTGCAACCTTCAGTCAGCTTCACCTTTCTAAGACAGCGAGCAGAGTGCCCTCTTTAAAACTATTTTCTCTCTGGAAGACAGACAAAGTCGTAGACTTTGAGAGAGATCCCAGAACAGAATGTGCCTTTCACACAGCGTATCAGTCCAAAAGTGTCACACTGGACTTTGCCAAGTAATCTCACCCAAGTCTTCACCTTTTATATCCCCCTCAGATCTTATTACGTTTGGGATTTTTCTGCCTCTAGGAGCAGTGACAGCACCTGCTTTCACTGCCTCCGCCGTTGAACCACTTCCAGGAAGAAACATGGTGGCTGTCCCTATTTGTTCTTCTGTTGTGATGTTTCCAGGTATCTGGAAATAGAGCATTTGTTCGAATTGTGTGTTAGTGTTTTTGTATGGGCACAGGCGCTTGCATGTGTGTGCATACATGTGTGCACACATCTGTGAGATTCATTATTCCACAAGTGGAGTCTACAGATGGAAAATATGATTCAGGACGATGATGCCTCTTTGACTCAGCAGGGAGAAGACCAAACAGAGAGAGAGAGAGTGACAGAGAGTGAGAGGAAAGTGATGGAGGGAAAGAGAGAGAAAGGAAAGAGATGATGGTCCCAATGGAAGTGGATGTTTTTGTATTCCACCAGCTTGCTCATCTTTACCTCTCCTCTGCAGACATAAAGACAAATCTGAATAAATGCACACACATATACACAAGCACACACATCAAGCCTCTTGTTTTCACCAGGGATTTATAGCGATGCCAGTTTTCTCGCTCCTAAAATATTGGAAAACTTGGGTTAGCCAATAAGTGCGTGTGTTTCAATGTGTGAGTGCATATTTTCATGTGAGTCTCAGTTTGGAGAGTGAAGAGTGTAAATGATGTGTCTGGGAAACCTGCATCGAGACGTCAACACACACACACACACACACACACACACTCACAGTCGCACACACACACACACACACACACACACACACAGAGTTCCTTCCATCCAGCTGGGTTTCTCGCTGGGAGATATGCAGCCCAGTTCATCGCCAGACAGACGGGTAATATATGGCCCCCGCTCCTGCCTCACACACACACACACACACACACACACACACACACACCCACACACACACTCTAACAAATACATAACCACATTAGAACTTTCTACAGAACTAACAGAGCTGTCTGCATGTTCTTCACTCAGATTTCACTCGCACCAACATCTATTTCTTTTGGATGCCTCAGCAACAAATAACTGAGGAAGCTGTGTTGATCCGGATGCCAAGGTGTGAAGGAAACAAGGAGACAAGGATATAAGGAAGGAGACAGACATTCCATCACAGCCCCCGTGGAGCTGCAGCCTGGGACGAGCCTACCGGCCGTGATTTCTAATCTTGGAGGAAAGGCAGACCAGAGAGGAGGACGCAGGTATGCAAGGTTAATTCCCTCTTCATCTTCTTCTTCTTCCTTTATCTCCTCTGCAGCAGTCCTGCTTGTATTGTGCGGCAGTGTAGCAGTATAGTTGTTATATTTCATGGTGACTGCATATGTGATTTATGTGTGAACAGGAATGAGTCCGCTGAGAGGCTTCCCCTGGCTTTTGATCTTCCTCTATGCAGCAGCTGTGTGTGCAGGTACCACACAGCACTCCCATTTGCTCGCAGACACATACCTGCGTTCAAATACATACAGTTTCTTCATCTAATTTTTCTTCATCATTAACACAGTCTGAAGTATAAAATGTAACACAGACCCCTACATACTTGTCACCTTTACAGGTGTGGGTGGTGCAAAGGTCGACAATGTGTCGTCAGAAATCTGTCGTCATCCATGTGAGGAGCTGGTGGGCTTGCTCACTGAGATCCAAGGCCTGCGGATTGTGACCAGCAACCTGCTTGAAGACCTGGAGAGAGTAGTAAGATACACAAATTAATGCACATGCATCATCTGCCTGTTGGCATTTGTTTGTTGTGTTTAACTCTCTAATACTACATTTTGATATTAATGTGGGAAGAAATTGAACTTAAAAAGAGACAAGAGTGTAAGAATTAAGTGTTTTCATTAAAACATTGTGGAATTAACTTTTTGTGATTAATAATCAGAGACAATTACAGAGAACTATATATTGTATTTGATGGGGTAGAGCATTATGGGAAATCTGTGTGACAAACCTAACAGAGAGTAGCTCTTATTTCAGTGCAAATGGAACAAGTGGCGACATCCTTTTTTCTGGCAGGCAAGCACTGTGGTTTGTGGTAAATGTCCTGGTGATTTTGGGGGAAAAAACAAGCAGAAAGAATACCATCAGTGTTAAAATGTTGGCTATGACTTAACTCAACCATCGCTCTAGCCTAATGCAAGTTGTTGTTATACTAATGCAGGGCAATAGGCTCTATATAAATATGTCAAATATATAGTTTTTGTGATGATGATTTTAATGTTTTGAATGTATTTGTATTCTCAGTCAAGAGAAAATGAAGAGATGCGCATATCTTTGGCTGAGCTAAGCAACAGCAATAGCAACACCGGCAGCAGCAGCAGCGGTGGCCGTGGCAATCGCCGTGGCCATGGCAATGGAAATGGCAAAGGCAGAGGCAAAGGCAATGGCCGGGGCCATGACAATGGAAATGGCAAAGGCAATGGCAATGGCAATGGCAATGGCCACGGCAATGGAAATGGCCACGGCAATGGCCATGGCCATGGCAATGGAACTGGCCACGGCAATGGCAATGGCCACGGCAATGGAAATGGCCACGGCAATGGCCACGGCAATGGCCACGGCAATGGCAATGGCAATGGCAATGGCAATGGCCGTGGCCATGACAATGGAGATGGCAAAGGCAATGGCCATGGCCATGGCAATGGAACTGGCCACGGCAATGGCAATGGCCACGGCAATGGCAATGGCAATGGCAATGGCAACAGCAACGGCAATGGCAACGGCAATGGCAACAGCAATGGCCACGGCAATGGCCACGGCAATGGAAATGGCCATGGCAATGGCAACGGCAATGGCCACGGCAATGGCAATGGCAATGGCAATGGCAATGGAAATGGCCATGGCAATGGCAATGGCCATAACAATGGAAATGGAAATGGCCATGGCAATGGCAATGGCCATAACAATGGAAATGGAAATGGAAATGGCCATGGCAATGGAAATGGAAATGGAAATGGCCATGGCAATGGCAATGGCCACAACAATGGAAATGGAAATGACCATGGCTATGGTGAAGACTATGGAGACGGTGACTATGGAGACGGTGATGGCTTTGGCGGAGATGTCAACGATCTTGACAGAGACAGAGACGGGGAGATCTGGTGTGTGCAGGATGGACGAGTGTATGAGCAGGGGGAGGATTGGGAGGTTGACAGCTGCACCTCCTGTACTTGCCAGGTCAGCGTTGAACAAATCTTATATAACTACAATCTAAAATATTAGCAATGAGGTGTTTCCTGGGAGAGCGCCATGCAAGACTCTGATTGAATGGAAGACCTGTCATAAATAGACTTCATGTAATATACTTCATCTAGGTTAGATCGTAAATCTTCTTTCACTTCTAATTCTATTTTGAATGCAGCCCAGAGCTGTTTTTAAGTCTTTTAGGTCCAAGTCAAGTCTCAAGTCCTCACTGTCAAGTCTCCTTGTGTTATTTACTTTTATTATTTAAATACATCTCTGGACTTGGATTTGACTGCTGCAAGACTTGGATTCCTTGAGACTTGACTCTAAGAACCTGACTTTACCATTAAGTATTAAGTTCTGACATAGTATAATCCAAAAAAGTACAAGAATCCTCTAGAATGGCTCTTACACATATCCTAACCTTATAGAAATAGTTAATTGAAAAATACATTTTGGGGAAATACGTATATGCTGGAGACCGTTTAGCTTAGGTTAGCATAAAAATGTAGCATGGCTCCGTCCAACAGTTAAAAAAATCAGTCTACCAACACCTCTAGAGCTCATGTTATGTCTAGTTTGTTTAATCTTAAAAAAAAGTACAAGTTCTAAAAATGACAAGTTGTGGTTTCACAGAGGGTTATGTGCTAAGTTAACGGTCTCCTGGCTGTAGCTTTAGACAGAAGAGTGGCATTGATCTTCTCATCTAACTCTGGGCAAAAAAGCAAATAAGCATATTTGCTAAAATGCCAAACTATTCCTTTAAAATGTATTGACCAATTGTGAAGATACCCAATATGGTTTCATTTATTTCCAGAGCTGCATTTGTTAGTCTCCCATATTTTACGCATGCTTCATCCTCCTCTCTGAGTCTGTTTCTCTTTATAAAACATCATTAGTTTTGTCAGGGATGGATTGAGGGAGTAGTCAGACTTATTATGAGTCATGACAGCATACCATTCCTCTGCAAGGGCTGGCATTTAGCAAAACATCTGGCTCAAACTAGCATGGTTTGGCTATTATTATTGTTTCAAATTCTGACTGTTTGAAGACTGGTCTGTATCTTTCTCACCTTGTGTAGGATGGAAAGGTGGTGTGTCAACAGGTGTCTTGCCCTCCTGTATCCTGCATCAATCCATCCTTTATTGATGGAAAGTGCTGTCCTGTCTGTCTCAGTGAGTTTGTTTTGTCTGCCACTATGATGTACGCTGAGATCACAAAGTTTGATAAAGGTGTACCAACAGTGTATGTGTGTGTATGTATATAAAGATAATGGAGATGGCTGGTCCCCATGGTCTGAGTGGACCGACTGTTCGGTCACCTGTGGACGTGGAGGGCAGCAAAGGGGCCGATCCTGCAATGGCATCACGCCGTCCTGTGCTGGGCCGTCAGTCCAAACCCGCAGCTGCATGCCGATGAAATGTGGCCGCAAGGGTAGGACATCACTCTGCATGTCTGATCTGTCAAATGTCTTGATTTAATTTATTTTTTGTGATTGACTGAGCACGGCTGGTCCAAGGGAATGAACTGAATATTCCTTTAAAGAGCAAAAGTATGGAACTTCAGACGAATGGATTTTAATCGTAATTGGAAACATGTTGTAGTTCTGTAAATGTATACACAGTGTGGAGCTGCGGTAGTGTTCTGTGTCGAATTCTACTTAGAGGCTTTTCCAGGCTACCGTACAAAAAAAAACTTTTTACAATATTTATATTCTTATTTCATGTGTAGTACGTGCTGATGGGAACTGGGGCCTTTGGTCTCCTTGGTCTGCATGTACGACCACATGTGGTGAAGGCAACATCACAAGGGTACGTCTCTGCAACAACCCCCCACCACAGAAGGGGGGCAAAGGCTGCACGGGCAGCGACAGGGAGACGCAACCATGCAACAATACACTCTGCCCCAGTGAGTAAAAAAATGCACATACAGACTGCACTGTTGTACTCTACTGGCATACAGGTAAATGATGTGCTTGTGTGTAGTTGCTGGAGGCTGGACAAGCTGGACTGAGTGGTCACTCTGCTCAGAGACGTGTGGGGGAGGTCTTACAATTCGCCAACGGGAGTGTTTGAACCCTGCTCCTCAACATGGTGGGAAGCCTTGTGTTGGAGATGCTGTGGACTATGAAGCATGCAACAAACAACCATGTCCTATAGGTAAACATTAACCCTGACCACAAACCTCAGGCTATGTAAACAGATATTACTCTATAAACAGGCTAAACCTGACATCCATGGATAAACCAATTTCTTTATTGGATGAAACATATTTTCAAACAATAGAGATTAAAAAATAATATCCTACAGCATTTATTCTGCCGTTATTCAATTATTTTGGCTCAGGACATAACAGACAAATGATTCCAATTTAGGTGCCATTAAGCCAATCTTGGATTATTTGGATTGTGTATAAAAGACTCATTGCCTTTCTATGTGAACATTTGTATGTTTTTTCAGATATATGTTTGCTGTCAAATCCATGTTTTCCTGGAGTGGAGTGCACATTACATAGCGATGGATCATGGGAATGTGGACGCTGTCCATTGGGTTTAAGTGGCAATGGCACTCACTGTGAGGATGAGAATGAGGTAATAAGGGCAAGCGAAGGATCAGACTACATGACATTAGCAGGTTAATGGGTTAATGTCACCGATATATAAATACCTAATGACATTCCCATCAGCCTCAGCCGTACTTTGTGTTCAGCAATAAATAGCAAATGTTAGCATGTAAACACACTAAACTAATGGTTTACATTATACTTACTAAACATCAGCATGTTAGTATTGTCATTTTAAGCATGGCAGCAAGTTTACTTCCTCTCTTTGGCCTAGTTTGACAAAGTCTATGATATTCATTGTAACACTTTGTACACTTTAAAGATCCCAAAGGTTTTTCTCTGATCCTACCTGATCACCTCTGTTCTTCATGCAGTTCAACCTCTAGTCTGTAAATGAAGGGACCTTGATCACCCAATCTAGTCTAGTGACCATCTCAAATGAAATAAATGTTGTGTAGTCTGATCCTGGCAGAGAGCCCCCGTACTTGCAGTTAGTGTTTGATATGCTGAACATGGTTAATCCCTCTATCTTTTCAGTGTGAAGTGGAGGGTGTGTGTGTCACAGAATGTGTAAACACAGACCCTGGTTACTACTGTCTGCCCTGTCCTCCTCGCTATAAAGGCACTCAGCCATATGGCCTTGGACTGCAGCAAGCCCAGAGAATCAAGCAGGCACGTATTTTGTTCTTTGAATTTCTAACCCAAAGCCTAACCCTGACCTTGACCCTTACCCTAACGCTAATCCTCACTACTTTCCTAGCTTTGAACTACAATCTTGAATCACTTTTGTATTTTCCTGTGCTGGCTGTGGTTTTAGGTGTGTGAACCATACAATCCTTGCAAAGACAACACACACACCTGCCACAAGTATGCTGAGTGTGTGTACCTGGGCCTGGCGTCTGAGGTTTTGTACAAGTGTGTGTGTGCTGTCGGGTTTGCGGGCGATGGCTTCCTGTGTGGTGAAGACGCTGATCTGGATGGTTGGCCCAACAACAAATTAACCTGCAAGCAGAATGCAACCTATCACTGTCAGAAGGTAAAATAATTTTAAAAAAGAGAATAAAAATGTGATCTGATTGGCTGGCGGTGTTCTTTGGACGTGATTTCTCTAATCTGAGTTGTGATTGGCTGCAGGACAATTGCCCCAGGATACCCAACTCTGGACAGGAAGACCTGGACAAGGACGGACAGGGAGACGCCTGTGATCCTGATGATGACAATGATGACATCCTAGATGAGAGGGTGAGACTGTAACTCAAACTTTGAGTAACTTTGAGATTACCCTGACTGAAAACAACTGAATATTCACATCTTGTGTGTGTGTATGTATGCACGAATGTGTGTGTTTGGCGTAGGACAACTGCCCGCTGGTGTACAACCCTCGGCAGTTTGACTCTGACAGAGATGGGGTTGGGGACCGCTGTGATAACTGTCCATTTGATAGCAACCCGCTGCAGACAGACACTGATGACAATGGAGAGGGAGACGCCTGCAGCATTGACATGGATGGAGATGGTAGGAGCTAGGGCCTTGAACATGCAAGTAAAAATATGTTTTATGTATCCATCCATTGCATCAATAAAAGAGATTAAACTTAAAGAGAAACTCAGCATCTGCTTTGGCTAAGCCAACTCACAAATTCAGAAAATGCATTTGAACCGTAGTTTTCTGTGATCTCGACCCTATCTTACCCTAACCCAGTTGTCCTTACACAGCCTAACCATAAACTAAGCCACGCCCTAACCCCAACCCTGGAGGGCAACAGTAGTTTCATCCATCTATCTATTATCATCTGCTTATCCGGTGTCGGGTTGCCGTGGCAGCAGAACAAGCAGGGCACTAAGTCCCTCTATCCAGCAACGCCTTCCAGCTCCTCTCAAGGCATTCCCAGGCCAGATGAGCTATATAATCCCTTCAGAGAGTTCTGGATCTTCCCTTGGGTCTCCTCCCAGTTGGACCTGCCAGGAAAATCTCCAAAGGAAAGTTCCCAGGAGGCAACCTATTCAGATTCCTGAACCACCTTAACTGGCTCTTTTCGATGTGAAGGAGCAAAAACTCCTAATGCTATCTCTAAGGCTAAGCTCAGCCACCCAACAGAGGAAACTCATTTCAGCCACTTGTATCTGTGTTCAGTCAGTTCCCAAAGATTGTATCCATAGATGACGCCTGAACGTCTGCATCAATGCTGACACCACACCAATATGCCTGTCCATCTTACCCTCCATTTTACCATCACTTGTGAACAAGATCCCATAAAACTCAGTCCCAATCTGGAGGGAGCAATTCACCGTTTTCCGGCAGAGGACCATGGCCTCCGAGTTGGAGGCGCAGATTCTCATCCCAGCCACTTCACACTTGGCTGCAAACTGCCCCAGTGTGTGCTAGAGGTCACAGTCTGATGAAGCCAACAGAACCATATCAAACAGTCAAAGTCAACATTGTTTTAGTGGGAGGGAAACACTATTCAAGAAGGAAGCAGACTTTGACACAAGACCAGAAATGGCTCACGTTTCACTCGCACGACCTGTAGTGTCTTTCTTGCCAGCAGCAACTTTAGTTCCCTCCGAGTCTCTGACTTTGCTGAAGGCCAAGATGGCGGTTCAGAGCTGTTTGAACTGCTAGTTTAATGTTAGCTAAGCAAGGCTTTAGCAGAGGCGGTGGAGGGAGAAAGAACATGGGATACGAAAGAGAAAGAGTTTGTAGATTTGCCCCAAACACTAAAACACGATCAACACTATAAACTTCTTCCTTCCAACTAGTAGTAGTACCTACTACTCTCATGTGTCCCAGTTGTGACAGTTGATTGTTGTGTTTGGTGGGAGGTGAACATGACACAGCTGTGTAACTTGGGGTTGGAGTGTCTCAGGATTTTTCACAGATTTCTGGATTTTCTCTGGAAAAAGGAAAATAAATTCAGTAATGAACACTATAGACAGGGACCAGGATGGGGGATGGAAAAACATGGACAAAAAAGACTTAGCATTAAGTTACTCTTTAAATATGGATTGAATTACATTTACCCAAACAAAGTTTTGATTTATATTGATTGTTTTTATCTGTTATAAAAGAGTAAAAAGCCACATGAAACACAATTTATCTGTGTTTGTGTCTCTCTTTCTCCAGAGGCTCTGAATGACCGTGACAACTGTCCCTTAGTTTACAACACTGACCAGAGGGACACAGACATGGATGGAGTTGGAGACCAGTGTGACAACTGTCCCCTTCTACACAACCCACTACAGGTCCTTGAAACGCACAAATGCTTAAACGCATACACGTATCTACTGAAAAACATATTGAAAAAACAACATTGATGGTGGTGGCGTTGCTTCACAGAACATCTGGTACAGGGTAACAATTTATTGGTGGCAATCCATCAGGGACAGATGGACATTTGTTTTTTTTATTACATGAAAAGAAAATCTTTGAAGCGTATGCAGGGAGTGGGTGTGCTGGTTAAGTTAAAACTCAGCATGAAGACTTGTGATTTAACACTATTTACACATAGAAAATACATTATGCGTATGTTTTCAGCTTGACTCTGACAGTGACCTGGTGGGGGACATGTGCGACAACAACGAGGACATTGATGAGGACGGCCACCAAAACTCTTTAGACAACTGTCCTTACATTGCCAATAGCAACCAGGCTGACCATGACAAGGACGGGAAGGGAGACGCCTGCGACCATGATGATGACAACGACGGTATCCCTGATGACCGGGACAACTGCAGACTGGTTCCCAACAGGGACCAGCTGGACTCTGATGGTCAGTGTTTCTACACTTTTCTATAAGCTTTAGGTAGCCAATAAAAAGGTTTCACCCACAATCAATCAGAATCTATTGAAAATCAAACCGCAGGACTGAGAATATCTCTAATATCATACAGATACAGATGTGAACAAATGCTGATTAATTTGCTGTCACGCGGGAAAGATATTTCGTACAATTTATGATAAATGGATTTCGCAGTCATGCAGTAAAATCTTGTGACTATCAGTCCAGTATGTCTCCATTGGTCCAGGTCATCAACATAAATAGTTTATGGGTCTCAGCAGTGTGATTTATCATACATAAAAGGTTTTTTTTTAATCTATCCACCATCATACAGGACTGTCTTACTACATTTGCACATTATCTCTTCTCTTTGTTCTTTTCCCCTTCTTGGCAAAAATGAATGCAGGAAATCACATGGTTATTCTCTCTCTCCTTATTCCTCTCTCTCGCAGGTGATGGTAGCGGAGATGCATGCTTTGACGACTTTGACAATGACAGTATTCCAGATGCGCTGGATCCCTGTCCAATGAACCAGGATATCGGGTCAACAGACTTCAGGAAGTTTCAGGTTGTTTTGTTGGACCCTAAAGGCACCACGCAGTCTGACCCTCTCTGGGTGATCCGCAGCCAAGGAACCGAACTGCTGCAGACAGCGAACTCGGACCCTGGCATCGCTTTAGGTGAGATTAACTGTTAAAAAAAAGGATATGCATAAAAAGCATGACGAAAATTGTTTGTCTACAAAACTAATATCCCTTTGTTTAAACAGGATATGACAAGTTCAGCTCCCTAGACTTTAGTGTGACATTTTATGTGAATACCAACCGAGATGACGACTACGCAGGCATCGTGTTTGCCTACCAATCCAGTCGACGCTTCTATGTCGTCATGTGGAAACAGGTGATGTTTGAATGCTGGTCTTAGTATTGATGGTAATGGCTTCACTAATGGTAGTGGAAATGTAACCTAAATTACAACTTTTAACTTGAGATTTGAATCTAAATTTATATCCGTTTTTGTGTGGTTGACACAACCTCACCAGCAAAAAATGGAAAAAGCATTTAAAAAAGCATCCTTTTTCAAACACAGCTTTTTGTGAGCCATCAGCCATGTATTACTGTGCAAACATCAACTTAACCTTCACTCTCTTTTATCCTCCACCCTCATGAGAGCAGGTTTCTCAGGCCTACTGGGAGAAAAAGCCGTCCAAAGCTTTTGGCACAGCGGGAGTCTCAATCAAACTGGTCAACTCGACTACAGGACCAGGAGAATATCTGCGCAATGCTCTGTGGCACACTGGAAACACCAGACACCAGGCATGAATTAATGAATTGTCATAAATAATACAAAATTGTTAACAGATAAACCTTCCCTAAAACTACCTTTTATTAGATTGGCACAGTAATGCATACATTTTTTTGTCCATTCTGACATCTGTGTGTGTATGTGTGTGTGTGTGTGTGTGTGTGTTTCAGGTCAGAACATTGTGGCATGACCCCAATAAAATTGGCTGGAAGGACTTCACAGCCTACCGCATGCACCTTATCCACAGACCCAAGACTGGGTTCATCAGGTACAGAGATTGTCATTACTCCTTTGAAAGTCCCATTTTCCCATGTTGAGTTTTATCACTGGATGATCTAACAGTTGTTAGATTTATTGACTCCAGAATATCCAGCATATGTGAGGAAATGAGAGTTTTCCCTTGTGTTTTCTCACTATCATCTAGAAAACATTGCTCTGTTAAATAGTTATTTCTATAGGCAAGGATAGTCACAAACAAGACAACTGATATATGAACCAGTAGAAGTATTGAGTTAAAGCATTTGTCTCTTGGCTTGTTTTCCTCTTTCGAGCCTGAATTTATATTTTCATGTCGAGCTGTCATGAACCACAGCTGGGTTATGATCGTGGAAGTCACCCAACTTTAAAAGTTAGAAAAACAAATATTTCTGGACTTCCTTAGAGGAACAACAGCTCCTCCCAAGTGAAAACAACATCTACAATAGCAGTAACCTTTACTTTTTAATTAATAGTTAAAACATTTGTTAATACTGGCTTGGCTTTTAAAGGACCATGGCAGTGTTTTAGCTTATTTACTACACATCACATAAACAACATTTTCCTGTATTATTTTAAAGATATAAATTTTTTTCCTCCTAATTTTCAAGCATCCACTGGTTTCTATTCATTTCTGTACAGTATGAAAATCAACTATTACTGATTTGTACAAATTCATTGCAGGCTTTTCAAGTCAGCCTGCTTTTACAAAAAAAAGACACAATGCTCTTTGGGTATTCACCAATTTTAAGCAGGTTTTACTTTCTGCAAGTCTATTTTCAAAATTGAAAAAAAGAAAATTCTGAACTCTAAAACACTAAAGAATACCTAAAAACCACTAGCAACTCTGTAAAACAAGCTAGAAACACAAAATAAATCATACATTTGGGGCTCAGTCAGTACCAGTCTGGTTCCTGTAGGTATTAGTGGAGCAACATTCGGCTGAATAACCTCTACAATTTCTGAAAATCACATTCAGTGCCATCTTTGTAAGAGATATTCACCCTCAGATGTTCTTACACTGGATGATATCATCAATCTCCAAGAATTATTTTATAACAGTGTAATTCACTTTCTTTGTTGTACCCGGTTCTCCTCAACCTGCCACAACTACTTCTACTTAGTTGCACTTCTCACTAATGGACTTTCAAAACCACCCCCGGGCAATGAGTTCTTTGTGCTTTGTGCGGAGGGAGAGAACAACATCACTGCTATAGTGAGGTTTTCAAGATGAGAAAATGTGAGGGGAAAGAGAACAAAACCGTAACGTGCCAAGCCCAATGTTACAAATGATTAAAATACTCTTAAAGAAAGCTATCTTTGAAGTGATGCATTTTGGGCCCTGAATGATTGTAGGATGACTGTACGGTTATTGAATGTGAGGCTGAAAAGAAGCTCCTGCTCTTTGATTGTGAAGGACAGACACACATTGATATTTTGGATAGTTGCTAAGAAAGCTGTTGTAACTGCATTTAAATATAGCTCCATTTGACGTCAAGTCCTCAGTGTTATTCAGGAATAAAATGTAAAATAGGGAACAGGAAGGAACATACATGAATAAACAATAGACTTGACACACCCCTAGTAAAAGTAACAAAAACTCTAAAAATATGTTACATTATCAATAAAAGTAAGCACTTACCAGCAAAACTTTCAGAATAAGTAAAATGCCCATTAAACATGTAAAATGGTTATATTGTTATATTTATGTATGTGTATATTGGATTATTATTACTGATGTATTATATAAACAGCAATTTAGCTGATTCTCACTATCTCATTTAGGGATGCACTGTGCTCATGTACTCATCTACTAATTATAATCATAATACCACTTTACAGCAGTGTGATGTTACATAACCTCTCATTAGTTGAGCAGGTAGACGGAGGAGAAGCAATGTCAGCAGTTTGGAGATATTTTAAGCAAGGCAGTATTGACTGATTTTAACATGAATGTAAACCTATGATCTTGATTATAAAAAACTTGATATCTATGATATAACAATGCTGTGTATGAGGATGTTATGTGCTGTGTTCCCATTGCAGGGTGGTGGTGTATGAGGGCAGGGAGATTTTATCTGACTCGGGGGCAGTGTACGACCACACCCTGGCTGGAGGCAGACTGGGACTGTTTGTCTTCTCTCAGGAACACGTCCTCTTCTCAGACCTCAGATATGAGTGCAGAGGTAAGATATCCTGTCAAAACATTAGTCCTGACTACTGATCAGTGGAGGAAGAAGCACTCAGATCCTTACTACAAATGCCCCCTGTGACTGATATACAGGACATTTTTTTAGTATTCATTCATATCATGTAGCATTTTACTTTTGTATTCGGTGGAGATGGAGCTACACTACTTTATATATTTGAGTGTTCAAGCCCAGTGGTTTTCAACCTCGGGGTTGGGCCCTTCTGAAATGTCACAAGGTAAATCTCAGGGGACGTGAGATGATTAATGGGAGAGGAAAGAAGGAACAACACTGTGACATAAATTTGTATTACATTCTTGGACTTTTTTGGATCTTTGCCTTTTTGTGAAATATTGGATCATTTGACCTCTCTGGGCCTGAATCAGGTACTAAATGTACTCAAAGGAGTTTTTTTTAAATAACATTTTAGCAGTTCAATACTGATGCCTCTATATGAATCCACATAAACAAACAAGCCAATCAGTGAGGCGATTGGCTATTTCTAAATGGTCAATCTTAGTGCCTGCCACCCGGTCAGAGTTGGTTGGATTCCCCTTGAAATCAATGAAATGAGGCAGTAGAAACACTACACCCTTTGTCCACAGGGACCACCAGAATCAACAAAAAAATGAAAGCTCCTTGTAAATGAAACCATCAGAGAAGATTAGAGGGGACATGTCTCTTTGGTGAAAGTGACATCTGTTACGTGACATGGGGCCCCAACTAGTGTCTAGCCTTTTTGGTCACAAGCCAGAAAGGTTTGGGACAACTGGTTGGATAACGTGTTGTATTTTTATAAACTTCTATTCTATCCTATATTTCTTATGTAAAATCATAAGCTGTAAAGTATAACTACACCTGTCAAATGAATGTAGTGGAGTAAAAAGTGTATTATTTCCATTATGAATTGTCGTGGAGCAGAAGTGTAAAGTACCATAATGGAAATAGTCAAGCACAATAGTCAAGCCTCCTTCCACTGCTGTTCCCTATCACTGTGTCTCTGTCCTCCAGCATATACAAATCAGTTCCTAGTATAAAAGATGTGTCTCTGAAGACCAAATCTGTGACCTGTTTTCCTCTATTTTCCATCTCAGATAACTGAACAACCCACCAGAGATCCACATAATTTCAGAAAATCTGAATACAACTGAGAGAGAGAGAGAGGATGCACCACACCCAGAACCTTTATCCTGCCAAGACTATCAATTAGTGACCATCATCTATCTATCAGCTTTTATATGCGACAGTATTGATTTCCGGCTGTCTCATTCGCTGTATATTACCGTAAGAATCAGACAGCATTTCTAGTGACAGTATACCCTCTTGTTGCTTTTCATTTGCTTTTTGCTAATGGTTGTAAATATTTATTTATTGCCAGATGCCAGAGAGATGGGAGAATAAATTGATGATGGAGTAAGTAGAGCACTGTGCAGATGTCTGCTGGGAACTTAACAATAAAATATTTGGATTTTTTTCAATCGTTTCTTCACCCCCCCTTTCTTTTCTGGTGACCAGTTGTACACATGCGGTTGTGGAAACGTGGTCTCTAGCGCCTTTTAGTGGTGAAAATAATTATTACTAATGATGAGTGGGAGAGGAAAAGTAAACTGACAATGGTTAGTTGAGGTTAGTAAAATCAGTGGTGGAGGAAGTATCCAAATAATGTAGGTAAAGGCAGTAAAAACACACTTAAAGTACCTTTTTTTTCATTTTACTTAAAGCATTACAATTTTAGACTTTAAAGTAGCTGTGAGACACATTTAGTGGACTAAAAGTTACAGTAACGTCCTCTGCAATGTAATGAGTTGAAGGAAAGAGTAGCAGAAAATAGAAATACTCAAGTAAAGTCCAAGTAACTTAGAAATGTATTTAAGTATCTAATGCTACTTACTGTCTACCACTGGGTAAAGTAAACAAGATTTTAATTAATTACTCTCAGCTGATAACACTCAGAATAACAGAATAATAATTCTTAAATATCCTCGAAGTACTAAGAGACACTATATATTTCAGGAAAATATTGCCAACATCCCTTAAGAATTTTATTGAATTTTACTCTATTTTTCTCTCTTTATATCACTTTTATTGTTTTGTGTAAACGTTTTTACAGTAGTAAATCTGGGTCTCCAAAGAAACCCGACCTTGAGTCAAAGGGAAAATAAATCCATTGTAATGACTCAAAACACTAAACCTGTTAAACCGGTTGGAGAGGGAAGTGCAGGAAGGCACAGAGAAAACATCAGCACACACTCAGGTACACACACACACACACACACACACACACTCACACACACACACACACACACACACACACTCACACACACACTCTACCTGGTGCGGTGAATGAGCGACGTCACTACCCGCTCCCACTGAGACGCAAAGAATGAGGAAGACAAGTCTCAGACGAGAGGATAGAAGTCATTACGTTAAAAAAAAACAGGCTTTCTGACAAGAAAACTGAAGCTGGTTTTGTGTCATTTATTGGTAAATCAATCATTAACTTGCGGAGACTGGAGGGATGGCGCGCGGCTGTACCGAGGGTTGGTGCGCTCGGTTTGTGGAGCGGCACCACTCAGCGCTGAATTTTGCGCTGTTGGTTGTTGGTTACATCCTTTACCTCATAATCGGCGCCGGGATCTTCTCCGCCATCGAGCTGCCCTACGAGCATGAGCTCCGGCAGGAGCTGACGGCGGCCCGGCGGGACTTCCTGAGCAACAACACCTGCGTGTCCGACGCGCGCCTGGAGGAGCTGCTGGCCCGCGCGCTGGAGGCCAGTAACTATGGGGTGTCCGTGCTGGGTAACGACACCAGCCACAACTGGGACTTCGTATCCTCCTTGTTCTTCACCAGCACCGTGCTGACCACAACAGGTGAGGCCCGGGGACATCAGGTGTTGAGACGGGAACGCATCATAGTGCGCTGCGTGTAAAGCACCTATTTGCTTTAATTAGCAAAGTGTGAAAGCTGTGGACATTCCTGTGGTGGGTGTAAATTCAATTTTGGTAGCACTTTATTGAGGGTTTTTATTCGTTGTAAGAAATGGCTTTACGGTTGAAGATACCCTCCAGATATAATAATTTACGCCTGATGTGACAAAAAAACTTCTTAACTTAAATAACATCAACACCTTCTCCAGAATCTATGAAAATAAATATTTTTCATTTCAAAAGTTTAACTGCTGGACAAAAGATGTCTCCTCCCTCACTAAAAATGTCTCTTCTCAGTGTATCATGTGTGCTGGAAGTTTCAAATTTCCAAACCACTCTAGAAAGGTTTTCTGCAACACTTTATAGATCAGTTACCAAAAACAAAAACATGATAAATACTTGTAAAGTCTGGACTTATATATGTTAATGAGTTGTTAATAAATTGATTTTGGTCCAGATTCTCCACTGGTTTCCCAACATTAGAACTAAAAAGATAAATGTCCTCCCCTGGGAGTTTTTTTTTTTAATCTCTGGCAACCAAAAAAGTTTTAATTAATGGCTCATAGCTCCTTTATAAAGAATTAGTAAATTAACCATTTATTAACCATGAATAAAGCCATAAGCTTACAAACTCTTTTTATGCAGTGACCTAATAGAATGTGGTACTTTTGTGTTACAGTACATGTAGTTTTCATTGTGAAAAGCAGTAAAGGTTATTTGGAAGTCATCACAAGGGCAAAGTGTTCATGGTGTGGTAATTGTTTATGCTTTTAAAAGGTTTATATTGACTATACTAACATCTTGTTAGGCTTTAGCTAGATGTTTATGTGGACTTTAATGAGATCTGATGTCCCTGAAGCTCCACAACAGTTGAACCATTAGTTCTGCTAAGGTGCAAATTAAAAGCCTCTCTTTTGCCCTTCATGTAAACATGTGAGATTATAACAGGCTGAGCTGAAACTAAATGAATAATTCATTTATTTGTTTGGTCTATTATTTATTTAAAGACTTAGATCGAACTTGTCTTTCACAAGAAGACATGTTGCTGTTGAATGAGCCTCTACCTTGCTTTGCAATTACTGTTATGTGTGTAGAGCTTCACAGGGCTAAGTGGCTCCTGGAGAAGACTCCCACCTCTAATTACACCCCTATAATTAAGGCTATGCTGCATGTGTGGTTGTGTTTTCAGGTTATGGCCACACTGTTCCTCTCTCAGATGAAGGGAAGGCCTTCTGTATCTTCTACTCCCTCTTTGGCATCCCCGTCACCCTCTTCTTCCTCTCTGTTGTGGTGCAGAGGATTATGGTCCTTGTGTCTCGACGTCCAGTGTCCTACTTCCACCGTCGATGGGCCATGTCTAAATCGAAGCTAGCGGCCATACATGCTACCTGCCTAGGCATCATCATGACCCTGCTCCTCCTCATCATCCCTGCGTGGATCTTTACCAGCCTGGAGAAGGACTGGGGCTTTCTGGAGTCTCTGTATTTCTGTTTCATCTCTCTCACAACCATTGGCCTCGGGGATTATGTCCCCGGAGAGACCCACAGTAAAGGGTACAACCCAAACCCACAGCTGTACCGGCTGGCTATTACAGGTGAGTAGGTGGCTAAATATATAGCCTGTCAGTTGGAAGCCTTTTATCTCCGAAAAGATTAAAAAAAACTTAAGCAATAAAGGGCAACAGGCATTTATTGTACCTTTTTGTTGCATCCATTGGTTTAGAAAAAGTTTCAAGAGCTCAAGCATTAGTGAGTTTCCTCATCCTGTAGAGCAGTGGTTCTCAATTCCCTTTTTTATGGATATTTCCTATTATATTCAATGCATAACAATAACAATAATAACATAATAATAATAACAATAACACAACAGAATAACTGATAAACCGTGCAAATAACCCAAATAGTGACCAACATAACTGCAGGAAGTTTGTGTAGATTATTTCCTGTGAGCGTCAGAGATGAGTTTTCCTGATATTTTTTAGGTATTTTTTTAGTTTTAACTGCATATTTTCTAAAACAGGTTCAGGCTGTTAGGCAGGGAGTGATGACTCTGTGAATACAGCTTGTGCTCAGGGCTTCACCTGCCCTTTCCCTGAGATTTCTTTTAAGTTTATACCTTAAATAATAATCTAAACATTTGAAAACAACAATTTAAATCAGTTTTCTTCATGGAAATGAATGAAATGCTGAGATATAGTTTGATACTGTTTATTTCTTTATAGATATTTTTGGGGCTTTCATGCCTTTATTTGATAGGACAAGTGAAGATAGGCAGGAAAGTTTGGGGGAGAGAGTAGGGGGGTGAGATGCAACAAAGGGCTGCTTTGGTAGAGAAGCTGTGCAGCCGCAGTAAGGACTCATCCTACATGGGATGCATGCTCTACCAGGTGAGCAACCTTGCAACCCCGACTACATATTTTTTAAGGAAAGTTTTCTTACACTCCTTAAAATCAAGAAGGCCTTGCGACCCCCTGTGAAGCTTTGGCAACCCCTAGTGGGGGGTGAGGATCCCAAGGTTGGGAACTAGTGCTGTAGAGCTGTTGTCTTAGCGTAAATCTATGAGTTGTTAGCAGTTCAACCAAGGAGAGATTTTTCCTTGTCATGTTTCAGCTGAATGATTTTAGAGGCCTGGAGAGGTGAAAGTTATGCAGCATTTCACAGGGAAAAGGCAACAAGACTAAGAGTCTACAGCCATGCTATCTTTATTGTCTGACAAGGTTAAACAAAGCAGTGACTGTTAACCACTACACCCATTATTTATTGACCACACCTTAATTTGATCTTATTAGTCATAATGTTTCATCACGCTGCCATTGTGTGTGTGTGTGTGTGTGTGTGTGTGTGTGTGTGTGTGTGTGTGTTTACTCTCCTAGTCTACTTGCTGCTTGGCTTAGTGTGTGTCCTGGTTGTGCTGGAGACGTGTTGCGAGCTTCCCCAGATGAGACGACTCAGACAGAGGTTCTACCAAGAAAACGTTCGGGAGCTGGACTCTGAGACCACCAACATCATCGACCGGGATCACATGACCGACCAGCTGACCGAACCCTCAGATCATGTGGCAGACCACCTACCAGTCATCCCCTCTGTGTCAGAACAGGCTGCGTCCCTACGGCAGGACAGCAAGTCTTACATGCCGGCATCAGGATCTGCCGTTAATGGAAAACTGAGATGACAGATTGTCTGGAACACATTATTTTTTACTGGTTTATAAACTTGTGTGCTGCATTTGTGACTGCTCGGGGCATACCGGCTTTGACCTCTGCGAAAATGTTTACATATGAGTAATATATGAGGAGCCTGAGCACATCTACATGCAAGCACTTAAAAAGGGATTTGCTTCTGCCACTGCCAACACCAACAGACATTTGTGGCGTAAAAGCAGGAACCACCCACAGGCTATCAGGATGGCATTGTTTTCTTGTTCTCCCCTGTTGCTCCATTCCCTGCAGATAAGAGCCAGATCTAAGACACAGAGGAAGGGCTTGGCCCCCAAACGGAGGGAAACCTCACAAGGTTCCACTTCCTGCCAAAGTCTTGATGCGGTAATTCCAAAGCAGCACAGTCTGCTCTAGAGGATTTCACACTCGCTCTTAGTACATTATATAATTTATGGTGGTATTTGCATAGGAAATTTGCCTTCTTGGAAGTAGGAAGGCCATACCAGGACAATCAGGCATACCATCGGTTGGCCTGTTGTACATTATGTGCAGAAATTCCACAAGATGAAGTGATGGCAACAAATAAACTATTTTTCTTCCTGGTTGCTTACAGGTGCCATGTTGAAAGACATTTAGTTGCCAGTTTTTTAGGTGCACCTTGCTAAAAGTAATACAGTCCAACACAACAGCACACAACAATAGTCCTGCAATAAATTCTGCCTACACAAATGTTACTGTATAATGAGTATAATTTAAGAGAGGTGCTCAACTTTATGATAATTCTGCGGCTGCAGTTTGTGGTGCGGTTGAATGGTGCTGTATTGCATTATTCAGAGAGGTGGGTGGACAAAATTAATAGAAATGCTGTTATTGTAACACAATACAATTCAGCAGCACCACAAACTGCTGCCTTCATAATGACCCTACAGTCCGATCAATACCTCTCTAAAACAGGTTCAACAAAATGGATCATTATCACCTTCGTAAAAGGATGTTTTATAGCAATTGTACAAGTTGTATTAGACTGCATTAGTTTTAGCTAGATGCACCTCATAAACTGGCAACTTAATGTATTTCATTGTGGTAATCATACTGCAATGTGTGCCCCTGTACCACTAGAGGGCAGCACTTTCATTGAAATACAAACAACAGATTTACACTCAGTTCTTTGTTACTGGGAATGCTATGTAGAAAAATGTAAAAATGTAATTATGCAGCATGAATAAGTAATTGTTACAGGTTAGGGTGAGTTTTTATTATCCATATATTTAGTCATAGCTGTCCCAGTTTACAGGTGTGCTAAACTAAATGTGCAGTATATGACATTTTTATGTCTAAACTGTTTACTCACTAGCAAAACAGCTTCAAAAATGGGTTCAAATCATGTCATGTCTTCCAAAAACCATTTTGCTGCTGTTTAGGGTTTTAATCAAGAGCAAAACTTTGTAATGGTAGTTTTTATCAAATGCAAATAAATCATGCAACATTAAACATTTTCTCATAGATTTTATCTTCAGAAATGTACAAATGACAAACAAATCAAACATCTTATATAAACTTGGGTTATTTTATTTATACAGTATCATATTCACATCATAATTCAAGACACATACATGCAGACTGATGTGGGTGCACACATTCAAGCACGCATTCAAATTCACACATTCAAACTCAAACATACAAACACAGAAACTGTTCTTCAACCAGAGTAGCAGAACTCACTCCCCAGCGAGAGAAAGTATTTGTCCTTCTGAAATGTCCTTGAATCCACAGGAGCTGCAGGACTGTTGTGCAGCAGACATTGACCTTTGACCTCCTCACAAAGGCTGGAAAGTATAAAGTGTAATCTTATTCACAGATTGGCAGAATAGTCCACACCTTGACACTCAAAAGCCCTCACATAACATTCCCTCCCTCGCTATCACTCATACGTACATCTGCGTGCATTCATATGATCTGAGGCTGTTTGGAGCAGCGGGGCCAGAGAGGGCGCAGGCTGACGACGAAAAGGATCAAGAGTAGTAATGCCATAATGGTGACTATAGAGACATAGCCGGCGTGGGGCAGAGGGGGAGAGTCAGGGGCCTCAGCTGGAATCATGTTGGTCAGATTCAACATGTAGCCCAGAGTCCAGCCCGCGTCACTGCCTTTTATCTGGATATAAACACAGGAAGAAGGAAATCATTGTCAGTCAATGATGTACTGCAGGACAGTACAGTTTATGTATTCATACTGTACTTTAATACAGACATAGAAGAAAAAACTAAGAATTTATGTGATTCCATATACACAAGTAGATGAAATAACCCAATATTATTATTGGCTCAGCAAGCTGTTTTTCCTAGTGAGGCCTGTAAGCTAACTATGGGTCTGTACTGCTGTTGCTGTTTTAGCTTTATATATATATATTTTTTGGAGGGTTTCCTATTGGATCACTACAGTTCAGGTCTCTAGCAGAGGCTAATATTGTATATTAGTTGCCTTGCTTGCATTATATTCTCGTGATATTGGCTCATGGAAATGTGGAAGGATAAGCCATCATAATTATAATTACAATAACAATAACAATAATATTATATTTATAAAGCACTTTTCAAGCTTAAGAACAAAGTGATTTCCAGATTAAAAGACATACAGAACAAAAGTTACAATGAGAAACCCAAGTGAGTCCCCCCCACCCTGCACGAGCATACAAAATGTATTAATAAATTAAGAAGATAAAAGCACTAAAATATTAATATAAAAGCGACAGTAAACTGATGATAATAAAGCAGACACAATTAAAATACATTATGTGATGATATAAAACACATTAAAATAATGGAAGAACATGTTAAGTGTAGGCCATCTTATGAAGGTGGGTCTTCAGGATACACTTAAAAGCTGCAGTGGAGTCAGCCGATCATACACTGATGGGAAGGCTATTCCAAAGCTGAGGATCCATAACTGGAAACGCACACCTTTGGTTTTCAGTCTGGTTGGTGGAACAACTAAAAGTTTTTCAGCTGATCTTAGGAGCCTGGCTGGGTTGTAAGGGGTTAAAAGTTATTCAATATAGTCTGGAGCCAGACCACGGATGACCTTGTAGGTAATTATTAACATTAATTGGTAACAAGTGCAGAGATGCTAAAATTGGAATGATATGACAAGACCTCCTAGACTTTGTCATTAATCTGGCTGCTGAGTTTTTGATTAATTGTAATTGTAATTGTGAGTGGGAGCGTTATAGTAGTCCAAGTGTGATATAAAAGCATATACTGCATATTAAAATTGAGCATATATCTTATTTTGGAGATGTTTCGTAACTTATAAAAATATATTTAGGTGATATTTCTGGTGTGCTGCTCAAAGGATAAGAGGCCATCAAAAGTTACCCCGTGGTTCTTTGCCAGAGACTTAACATTGGCTGTAAGTAAACTATGGAAGGACTGTATCTGTGCTTCGTCACATTCTGGACCAAAGATCAGAACTTCTGTTTTATTGCTGTTAAACTGTAGGAAGTTGGTTGCCATCCAGTCCTTGACATTGGATAAACAAGAGAAATAGAGTGAGATTGTACATTTCACGTGGTTTAAATGAGAGATATAACTGTGTATCATCAGCGTAGCAATGAAATTAGTTGTGTTGCCAAATGATATGCCCAGAACCTCTCCTTATGAGAGCCGAAGGATCTGTCCTAGGTTTCTGCCTTTTAACAGGCAGTTTTTCCTTGCCCTTGTCGCCAAGTGCTTGCTCATGGTGGTACTGTTGGGTCTCTGTAAATAATGTTTTAAAGAGTTCGGTCTAGACCTGCTCTATTTGAAAAGTGTCCTGAGATAACTTCTGTTATGAATTGGCGCTATACAAATAAAATTGAATTGAATTGAATTGAATTGAATATGGTATTTAGCTAAGCATACAGGTAATATTTTACTGAAATCATTCAAACATAGTTTATGTACTACTACTACTATGTAATACCATAATTAAATCTATTTTCGCCAGCTGCTAATTTGGCCAGCTTTAAGAAACAGGAAAGAGCTCTAGAGCAACATGTGTTGCTGGCCATATGTATTCATATATTTCACTATATCAAGATACTATAAAGGGGGCAACTGTGGCATCCTACTTCTGCAAGACACTTGCAAGGTGTGTGTGTGTGTGTGTGTGTGTGTGTGTGTGTGTGTGTGTGTGAGAGAGAGAGACAGAGAGAGAGAGAGAGAGAGAGAGAGAGAGAGAGAGAGAGAGAGAGAGAGAGAGAGAGAGAGAATGAGTGAATAAGTGACAAACTGCAAAGCCCTTTTTCTGCCAAGGTAAAAAAAACTCCATATACAGTCAGTGAGTCCATTTACTCCATTTTACTTAGTTTACTTACTGAGTTACAGTCAGAAGGGCTTTGTTTCCAGTTAAGGGGAATTGCAACATGACTGTTGCTGCACAAAGGTTAGGTAAATGTTGTCTATGAGCTTTAGTTCAGATGATGAGGGCTATTCTAGCATTCAAGAGAAATTACTACATGTTTGTGCCATCAATCGAGGATGGCGGACAGCGTGGCTCTGCTTTGCGGGGTCTTATTTACTCCCTGTGGTTCATTTTTAAGATGCAAACAATAATTTATTTTCAGGGTTTCTTTCAGCAGAATCCTTGTGGATGTGAAATTAAAATAAATGTTTTAAGGTGTAATATGAGGTGATGTGTGGTGACCTGGGAGAGACATGTCATTAATGTAGGATATGACTTTAATCAGTTGAGGGCATGGCTCTGGGGTGTGTGAGACAGGAAAGGAGTCGACTGTGATCTACTGACCTTTTTGATGAATTTTATGTTGGGGTAGCTGTCTGAGGTGAAGTTGTATCCTTCTGTCAGCAGGGTGAGGATGTACGTGCCAGAGAAACAGTACTCAGCCAGATACTTCAATTTTATGTCTGGATGCTGCTGGATGATCTGTTCAAGCAGTGATATCATCAGTGTACAGTATAGGCTGGCTGGAGGACATAAATGAGACGGGAAAGTAGATAAATATGGCAGGATATTTTTGTGTGTGCGTGTGTGTGTGTGTGTGTGTGTGTGTGTGTGTGTGTGTGTGTGCGCGTAATGGATGCATAAATATGCCCCTGACCTGATTCCAAGGGGTAGCGCAGTAGCGTGCTAGCTTTTCCTTGACAGTTTCCAGAGGGATGGATGTGTCACTCAGATTGAGGAAGTTCATCACAAAGTAGTAAGCAGAGAAAGCCTACAGTAAGAGAGACGGGGAGAGGAAGAGATGAGGCAAAAAGAAGTTAAGTTGTCCTGGTATTTTTTATAATTATAATATTATAATTAAGTCATCGTTTTTCTGTAAGGGTTTTTCTAGCCTTACCGACTCAGACGTCATTTATCTTTCCAGGTAGCTGTGAGGCAACATCTCTTTCCAGTAAAAATATTCCTATTACTCTTGATAATTAACAGTCAACAGTCTTTTATTATTAAAGATATTTCTTTTGGAGAGAGTAGTTCCAAGGAAAAATTTTCATAACAATGAGATCTGGATTATTCAGAGTAACTTGAGAGACATTGTTTCAAGTTTACAGTGCTATGTACACCATAAACATAATGCCAGTGACTTACATTATATTGGGCTGGTGGCAGAAGTATCGGCGATAGATAAAATGTATTGTATTGTATTCGTATGGTGGCGTGTTCTTTATACTATGACAGTTGTTATTATTGTATTATTATTCTTTTTTTTATCAAATTGCAATATATTGCCTGTCTCACAGGCCACTGATAAATATGCTGATAAATAATAAATGTTACCCCGAATGGCCCCTGCAGAAGTGGCTGGAAGATCCCATTGAAAGAGCAATGGGTGTAATTGCAGTGAGTAAAGTTGAAGACACTTTTGACGACGTTCTGGCATTGTTTGAAGTTTCCATTCCCCACGTGAGTGAAGTTTACAGGAGCTCTCTGGGGTTTCCTGTCTGACACGCAGGGGCTGTCATATAGGATTGAGTAGTTCTTTGTTGCATTGTAGCCAGGGTGGAAACAAGGATCTAATATGGATTCTGGACCTGTCTAGGAGAGAGAGCAAGATAGAGAGGTGTAAGATTCAGAGAGAGGAATCTAATTAAATTCAGACAGCTTCTCTTACAGATTATTAAATCTCAAAATATCATCTCTCAGATTAGATCCTCAGAAAAAAAATAGACATTTACTTGAGTCTGGTGTGCCAGCGCCATTCGTAGTACTTGGTCTTTCCCGTAGCACAGGAAGCTGTGAGTGTACAGGTTATAATCATTTCCATAGAGTCGGAAGGTCACAGAGTTGCTTGGTGACTCTGAACCGTCATAATTATCGGATACAAAGCTAATCTGAGTTGAGGCCCCGCCAAGGTCCAGGGCACCTGTGGTTTCCAAGCCCTGCAGCACAGACAAAAAGGCATTGAAGTCACTGCACAGCGGGAGCACACTGACTGACGCACATTTCCTAACTGACAAAAAACAAGACACACATCTAAAAGTGAACAAACCTGCGTGCATCCAGTCATACACCTACTGACCTGTTCTAGGCGGTCATCCAAGTAGTTGACTGTGACCCACCCGAACGCACCCTCCTCCTGTCCGCTGAGTATTCTCGCTCCCTGATAGGAAAAGGGGAACTTTTGCAGGGCTTCCTCCACAGCCTGAAAGACCTTCTCGGACGCCGAACTGTTCTCCATACTGCATGCACACACAACACAAATTCATTTGAGTGACTCACATCCATAATTCAAATCAATACAGCAGTACATAAATAATAAATAGACTGTGTCGTATATAATGGGTTTGACAGTAACATATTCGCTGCTCTGGCAGTTAAGTTCAAGTGGAGATAAATCACAAAATTGGCGGAGGGAAATGGCTACAGATAGCAGCAGCACTTCAGCTGCCAGTGCAAACACAATTACAGAGTTAAGGTTTGGGATATACGGTCACCCAAGTGTCTGCATGAAAAGCCTGCTGTGTTACTTTTTAGCGGATGCATGTTTTATGTTTGATTATGGGGATGTGTGTGCCGTACTTCAGCAGTCTCATTCCTGCAGTAGCACCCAGATAAAGAGGGGTCTCGTGGTATCTTTTACCGGGGACCCGCTGCTCTGCCTCCTGCATGCACGCTCTCAGAGACTCCCCGGCCTTCAATGGAGCGGATGCATAGCTGGAGATACCTGGACCTGCAAGTTGAGCAAAATGTCAAGAGGAGGGTGAATCATTCAGCCTAAATTTAGTGACCATAAAACATAATAAGAGCCTTGAATTCAGAGATGCTAGCCCTCTTGGGGATTGGAGGTAATCTCTCTGGGAATTCTGGCACTCTGGCTAAGGGAAAGAAAGCTTTGTCAAGACATTATCTAGATGTAAGCATGCCTGCTGTACCTTCAAACCACAGTTTCTCTGTTTGAGTTTCCCAGGGGGGAAAATTACAGCCTGGAGTATTAATTACACATTCAGCCTGAATGTGCACATCCTTTTTACCTGAGAGTAGATTCAGGTGTCTCAGTTAAGGTAGCTGGGTAAAAGGATACATTCAGTGTACTTCAAAATCTTCCCATGAAAACCAGCAATGCTTCACTTCTCTCACACTATCACACTCTACTATCTCCCAATACTTTCCGACTTCTACTAGTGAATAGCTAAATAAAATAGATATTCTTCTATATAGTTTCTTTGAAAAATTGTACTGTGCACTGTATTTTTAAGCAAACCTTATTCAGAGAAGCGTGTTGATACTATTTGTCTGGAGGAATGTGCCGTCTGGTGCCTATGAAAGTGTTCTACTTTAAGCTTTGATAGTCAATGCAAATTACATAAGGCCAGCACATCGACGGTGCTTTGATAGATAAAAAGCAGTTGTTAAATCTAGTTACAGAACACAAGCTACAGGAGTCAGTTTAAAAGAACTATCTGTTTTATTGTGTCTATTCAAAGGTTCTTTCATAGTTCAGGAAGAACAATTGTTTGCACAAGGAAGCTGCCCTGAGGCTGAGGCACCTTAGACAACATGGACTTTCATGCTAGTTCCAGGAGGATAAAATATACACATCTTTATACATGCATACAACACAGGAACAGTAGGTACCACTTTCTCTGAAGTGTTATGTTGTAACTAATGGCTTTATTAATGTTAATAATGTTAAAGGATCAGTTTTGCATTTTAGGAACATAGAGTTGGATGAGAGGATTGATACCACTCTTATGTACGGTATGATTCTATGGTCAGCATGTGATGAACTTAGCTTAGCATTCAGACTGGAAGTAGGGTAAACAGCTTGCTCTGGCTCTGTCGTTATATGTCATTTGTCGTTATATGTCATTTGTTTGTTGGTTTGTCCACCTTCAAAACAATTTGCTTTCTCTCTTTAGCTAGCTCTTGAATTCATCATGAAGAACCATGTAATGAACTATACAACCACTTATCTTCTGTACAAAGTGATTCAGACTTAATGACGTATTTAGAAAGCTATACGCAGTGACTTTTTAGGCTTATCACAGAGTGCTTTCATTCATGAATCAGCAGTAGAGCGAGCATGATGGGTTTCTCACTTATGCGAGCCGTCAGCAGCCATAAATGTAAATAAATCATTAATAAAGTACAATAATCCATCTAAGGCATTGTAAATGTTAATGAGTTTTTAGTACTGCTTACTCTTTTACAGACAGTAAGTGGTTTAGAGTTGAAATTATCTGCAACTTATGCTTCAATTTATTTATTTTTGGTTGAGGCGAATAAACACAGACAAAATACTTTTTATCTCTGACAACCCAAACGTTGTGACATAAATGACTAATTAGTGAATCGATGCATGAATGAATTATTGACCATAAATGAATCCATTATTTTGTGTTTTGAACTTAACCTTATTCTAGTAACTGCACATCCTATCATTTTGCATTAGAATGCATAAGTGGTTGTACATGTGAATGTGAGGACTAAGTATGTGATGCACTGTGCAGCATATACCTTTTACTTTGCAGGAATGCGTCTGTTCAACTCTTCCAGTGTTGTTATCCTTCTCTGCTGGCCACTCATAGATATATAGAGCTGTGTGGGAGGAACCAGCGTCCAGCACAATCCCATACTGGAGTGGGGACAGAAGGAGTAATTCCAGTTCAGCGCTCAGAGACATAAACTCTGGATGAGTTCCATCCAGGCATACTGTTTAAACATTCATTGTAATGATTGTATAGCCCACGGATAAACTTCCCAGAACTATATCAGCAATACTTTTATCTGTGCTTACAGAAGAATATTGGTTTAGTGCTCATACTATTTAGTAAAACAGCAACCTAGACGCTGTAATGAATAATATCCATGAGACTCCAAATGGGGCTGCATTTGTGACAATAAAGGACTGATGATTTAATATTCTTATCAACATCCACTGGCCTTATTTGGTAGTGGATTTCTAGAACCAGTAGCACAAGTTGAGGTCGCACTGACAAGAGACCATATTTGGCTTGTGGACTTTGGAGAGAGATCCCACTGCAATGCAGGGGGCTCCCACACAGGGAACAGGCTACAACAGTTTAGCATTTTCCTCTACCATACCTTGTACTTTTGGGGGAGTGGCCTGTTCTGCAAAACTGCTACCGTCACCAAGGCAACAATCGCTATGACACCAATCACAGTGATGATGATGGTCACAGGCTTGTGCCAGGGGTTCTTCTCTTTCATCTCTGAGAGCGGGGGCGGAAAGACAGACAGACAGGAAGGAGAAGCGAGAGGGTAGAAAGGGGAAGATGGGGCCACATTGGAAAGAGGAAGGGGGTGTGTTAGCCAGTCTTACATCCAGATGTGAGTGATGTCACAGCATGTGTGTTTTGTATGTAGGAGAGGGAGTCCGTCCGGGGGTTTCGCAAAGTGTTTAATTGTATTGTTTTGTAACCAAGGACTACGGATGGATTTCTGATTCGGTGTGTCTGAACTTGAGCCAAGCCAGCTTCATTGATTCTAGGTGGGTTGTTATTTCAGCCACAGCATACTTGAAAGGGTATTCCACCAAAGTACTTAACTAATGCTGAAAGATCAACAAGATTTCCCCTTTGGAGAATGATTAAAGAGAAACCAGTTTCACACTCATTATTGTGGAAATAGCTGTGGTGTTTTGTACAAAAGAAGAGAACAGTTGGCTTCAATCAAAAAAGATAACTTGTATATTACATAGCAAAGAGTCAGTGTTAACCAAGAGTCATTAATAATTTTAACATCCTGTTACAGGTATTATTTTAATCTTGAATATACATGGTCTGCTGCTGCTTTGTTTGGTTTTCATATTCCTTCGTAAGTACTCACTGAGTTTCCATTGTTTATAATGTGATTGGAAACACGCACACACACACGCACAAATACACACTGATGCCATTGTCGATAATATGAGCTTATGCATTCACAGTTTATACAGAGACAAAAAAAGAGTGTAACAGGCTGTCTGTATTCACAAGACTATTGTGATAGAAAAGAGTGATGAACAAGATAACAAGCCTGAATTGTTAAGAACACACACACATAGTTGTTTGCTTATTGCCAGGGAAAGTAAACTGGCAGACAATATCTACGTGCACATGACAGCTGGCAAAGCACACAGACACATTGTAGAAACTGACCTGACTGTACAGTACAATGCGAATTTCAAGAGAACGAAGAGAGGCACAAACACACGCACAGCTTTTGCATCAGTAATAGTAAACCTGACCTTTGTCTACTGTGGGAAAATACACAAAAGACTGGAACTGACAGCACAGTAAAACAGTAAGCCAATGGCAAACAGAGAGGGCAAGAGAGTACTTACCTCTGTTGTCTACTTCAGTGAACTTACCAGTGACAGAGGAGGGAGAGGGATAGCGAGAGAGAGAGAGAGAGAGAGAGGGAGGGAGAAAGAGAGAGAGAGAGAGAGAGGGAGGGGGATAGTAAAAAAAGAGTGGAAGTGAATGGGAGAGGAAAATATGGGGTGGACAGGAAGAGGAGAAAATGAACAAAGGGAGGCAGCAGAGTGATAAGATGAGGAGAGGTTTTTCCGTCGTGGCCGGACAGAGGATTAGAAAAGAGCTGTGTGTGTGTGTATGTGTGTGTTTGTGTAGTTCTCTGAAGCACTGAGTTTGGCATTTCCTCCCCAAGCTGGAGCAGCAAAGCCGGTCACTATGGAGACACAGCTAAAGCGTGTTTGTGCGTGTGTCAGCGGGCTCTTGTGTGCATGTGAACCCCTTAAAAGGGACTCTCTCGCGCTCTCCCCCTCTCACTCCTCTCCCTGCGAACTAATGTTAGTAACTCACCCTAGAACTGCTCTCTCTCTCTCTCTCTCTCTCTCTCTCTCTCTCTCTCTCTCTTCATACTGTGGGATGTGTAGGAGGGAGGGGAAGTGGGGACTCCCTTGTTTAGCTGTTTTTTTTTGTTACTGGCAGGCTGTGATGTCATCTCTGTGACGGATTGGAATCCCCTGCTTTTCTCTGAGGCGGTGTGTGTGTCTGTATGTGTGTATGTTTGAAGAATAAGGATTGCTGGAAAGCTACTGTGTGTGTGTGTGTGTGTGTGTGTGTGTGTGTGTGTGTGTGTGTGTGTGTGTGTGTGTCTTTGTGTGTGTGCGCAGATGCAGGACATGACTTGCCTGCAAATGTGTTCCATTCTCTTGCCCTCTCTTGCAGACACACGCACATTTAAACACGCACGGGAGAATTATTGTTGTAATTTTTTATCTCACTTATCACTCTCTTACCTTCCTCCATGGAGAGATCTGACCCAAAGCCTCTTAACATTAAGGAAACACACAGACACACATACATGCGGCCACCACCAATGATCCTGTAATTGTTTGACCAGTTCTAAGCAAATAACCAAAGTTCATGCTTATTTTCTTTTCTTTTAAAATATAACTCAGACAATGTCAGAACCGGATAATGCCCGCTGCCTCTGGAATTCTCTCCCCCAACACCTGCTTTCAATCTATGATCTACCCCCCTTCTCTCCTTTCTATTGCTCCAGCTGTTTTCTTTTTTGTTTTTGTTTTGTTTTTGATGCTGTTTTACTTTTCCCATTTATAGTTGTTATAGTTGTTTTTTTTAATACTGATATTGCCTTTGCTGGTTCTGCCATTGTATTGTTACCATGTAAATAACCTTTGAGTACCTTTTTTTAAAATGCTATATAAAATAACTGTATTATTATTATTATTGTTATTAGTATTATATATCACAATACAGAAATGTTTCTAGTTCTTGTTCTTCTTGTAAATTCAATTAAGAAATGGTTTAAAATAACCAAACCACACCGTACTTAATCACATTTGATTATCTCTTATTTGGAACTTCCATACAAACAAAAACAACTGCGTCACATGATACAACTTGAAGTTTGAGTGAAACTCAAAAGACTCACAACTGTAAAACAGTCTTTCAAAATGGAAACTTTACGGTTCCAAATGAGGACAATACTTTCAAGTGTCACAGGTTTTCCAGTGTCACTTTCCTCCATCCTGTTTCCTTGTCAATGTCTTACTCTGCGATAGCTGGCCTTAAAGGTGCCCTCTGAACTCTCATGTCACATGGGAAGGTAGTTAAGGCGAGAAGGGTCCAGCTGTGGCCTTGCAGCCGCTACAAACTGCTCCTCTACAAGACACACCCCATACAAATCAATGCCCATAATGACAATGTGTTAGCATCAAATGTTGGCAAAGCCAAGGAAGCCTGGGTGGGGCTGTGCTAAGATGAGAAAGAGACAACTAGGATTTATTGTCAAGTTAAGATACCTGACCATAAGGCAAACATTCCCCAAAACATTCTTGTTTTTGAGTCTCAGTGTCTCGTTAAGGCATGTCCTCTTTGGCTTCAGCTTTTGTGACCACTTGATGGATCAGCTAAAAGGGCAAAACTTGCAATAAAAGTGTAGTTACTGTGTAGGCAGGATGTTTTGTGTCCGATCATCTGAACAATGTTTCAAAAGCTTATATACTAACAAACATCCTGCAGGAAAAAGTTCCATGAAAGAAAGTGAATTATCTAAACAAAAGGTTATTAATTGACACAAACTTTCTTAGTTTTGCTCAAAATGTGAGTTTAAACTGCACCGAAATTCTTTCAAGTTCAACAAAACTATTATAAAATCCAAACTACAACATAGAAAGTTGCTGTGAAATAAAACACCAATGTGTAGGCTTTAGTGGCATCTAGCAGTGCAGTTACAGATTGCAACTTCTTCGCTTCACCCTCCCCTTCAGTGGGATTATGGGATTCATCAAACCTTTCCTCGAAGGCTTGCAGCCACATTGAAGCTAGAATGAAACCACATGTAATTGCCACATATGCGTACTTGTTTTACAACATCTTCACACGCCTTGAACTATGTGGTCATTACTCTAGCTGTTTGTCTAGCACATCTAAAATGCATGAGAACATCTGCGATATGTCTGCTGGTGAAGTCAACCACTCGCCTTAGCATTAATGAACGTCTCTATTAATGACAGCTGGCTCCAAATGCAAAACTCCTGCTTTATTATAATACAAATCAAAGTCAGCGAGGGAAGTGGTTACAATAAAGCTGTAAATGTGCCCTGCATTGACCAGGACCTCACCCTTCCTTCCAGTTATTGTTAAGTATGAGAAGTTTTGATGAAGATGGAACATTTAATTCGTCCTTCTTTAATTTGCTTTCAGGTTAAAGCAGGGAAAGGTTGTTACATTATGTGTAATCACCTGCAGACTAGACAGATACAGACACAAAGTCACAAACACATGTTGAGACTCAAAAAAGGGCTTACCCGAGCAGCAAATTAAGTGGATGAGATCATAGAGGGAACTCTCTCGGAACATCAACACAGACTGAAACAGCTCTTAGGCCACACAAACACATTTGTACTTTGAGGAATTTTAATGACATTGCATTCCCTCTTGATCACATCTACATACCTAACCCCAACCCTTGAACCATCCAAAGTCTAGTCTAATCTTAAGGCTGAAACCAAGTCTTAACCTTCTAACAGCCAGGTAAAGAAGAGGGGATCAACCTAAATTTGGTCACTTTTCCAAAACTGCCCTCAGCAAAACACATAGACCTAATCCACATCGCTTTGGTAGATACACATCAAGACAAACACCACACGATCGCATCTCACAACACAATGTTTCCATTTCCGGCTCCTCTTTTAACACAAATATAGTGTTAATGCCAGTTAACAGGACAGACAGATTCGTGGGTAACAGAGAGCATGGAGAAACGAAAGTGGAAAACATAACATCTGCTATCACTTATGTCTTTGAGTCCTTTTATTGTGAGTTTAATGCAAATATTGTAAGAATTCTAAGAGGACTTGAACTTGAACTAACTTGTACTTGGAAGGAAGCAGGAAGTTTAGAAAAAGTACTGTCGAGATTCCCCATAAAACAATTATCAACAGCTGTGACATTCACAGTGCAAAGCCATTTTTACACACGCATTCATTTTGCATCTAGATGACTGTTGACTACAGTAATTCCCTAATCCCTAAACTTTAATTGAATCCTCACTGACTGTAATGTTTACCTAAACCTAACCCCTGAATGTGATCTTTAATTTTTTTTTTTTTTTTTTATGAGCTTAAAAGTAAAGCATTTGTAAGTACTTGTGTAAACAAAACATCGGCCCACACACACACACATAAAGGTCAAGATACACAGTTCACAGGTTGGCCTAATGTGCTGTCGTCACACAAAAAAGTACACAACTATAAAGTTTATACTGGCACTAATGTTGAAACCCAGGCTGCTCCTTGTTTAATAAGGACCTGCCATATGACTGTATCCACCCCCGTTGATCTGAAACTCATAACTTTCCTGAGATAAAAAAATTACAAGAGAGGAAGAGAAATAGAGGAAGGAAGATGTTTTGGCACATCAGATACTGAGATGGGTTTTACTTTGTGTGCAGGGATGAGTCAATGGGTGTCACAGTTGGGGATCAACTGTGTGGTTTCATAATGATGGAAGATGAGACAATAACGCCCCTGCAAGGCAGGTCCTAAATTTGTTGTGCTGCTTTCGTGGTTAGGCTTTCACAAGTCATAAGCCTAGGCCACACATGCACGAACATTGTAGAGGTAATACATGTGACACATAGGCGCAGTGACTGCAACTTGCCTAACACTGGTGGAAAACAAGTGTTTAAACTCTTTAATTAAGTAAAATTAGCATATACCACGGTAGAAAAATACTAATTTACAGGGAAATACCTTGTAAGATATGTAAACAAGAATCAGCTAAAAGTATCCAAAGTTAAAATACTCATTGTTCTAAATCTGGATTTTCATGCTTGAAGCACAGTTTAAGAAGGAAAGAAATGATGAAAGATTAAAGAAGGAGCGATAAAGGGAAAACAGAAAGAAATAAGACGGATGACAAAATTATAGAGCCAACAAACTACAGCTGCTGGATAACTGTGCAATTAAACGTCTCAGTACAAAAATAGTATAACCAATACCTCAAAATTGTACTTGTCTATTAAGTATTAAATAGTAAATACCAATACCCGTGAAATTCCATGGCTTTTAATGAAATTCAGCCATTTATTTTCTTTGCCACCTGAAATAAAAGCTCTTCTGAGCTTCTAGGACAAACACTGAGGGGGATATTCACTAAGCTTAATGCAAATCCCTGTCAGGGCAGCATGTTGTCCATGTCTGGAAAGTAATAAAGTGCAAAAGAGATTTCTGCTGCTGAACTCTGAATATACTTTGAACTCAAGTTCAGTTGTTTAAATTTACTGACATGGTGATGGATCATTTGTCTGGATATTTATTTAAAATGCTAACGCTATATCTTCATGACAGATGACACAGACTGAACGATAAAGATGGAAGCCTACCCCTACAAGCTATGATTATATTTATTTAACTCCTTACCTGAAAGCGTTAGCCTTTAATGTTTTGAACATAGTGTGCTACACAGCAATATCAGCTCTCTAACAAAAATAATGGTAATGTGTATTTCTGAATTGATGTACACAATTATTTCCTTCTGAGTAAATTATGTTATTTTCCTCTTCAGCTTAACACACATGCATATACACAAACAAAAATCCACATAACCTCCTCACGGGGAAACGCATTCATCGTCCCCACGCACCACACACCATTGTGCCTCTGAACACAGTGTCCTTGAGTTGTCACTGGGTTTCTTGCTTTTTCCAATTAATCAGGCAAAGTTTTGTTTCTGTTGGCAGCTCTATAAATACTGTCTTGTTCGGGCCATTGTGAAATAACATTGTCTACTGCGTCCTGTAAAAAGGGAACCTCTGGCGGTGTCATATGATGAGAAATGAAAGGAAGCATCTCTGTCTGCCACGGGGAAGTTGTTCTGTTCTCACTGGTGTTCAGTCCAGTCTGACCTTGCCTACAGGACACACTGACGCTAACCCTGGGCTGGACTGGTCTACCCTGACCTTCAGCAGAGAAAAAAAAAACAGTTGCAGTTTCATTCTAAAGAATATTGCCGAACATCCTGGGTCAGAGGGAAATAACAGCTACAAAGCTAATATTCTTCCTTCGGTGGTGACTTTGTGTTTATTTTCATCTGTGTGGATAGTCAGAGCCTTATCTGGACACAGTAGATAAGGGATCAGTCACTAAAGCAAATTTGGTGTTTGCTTACATTTTTGGGATATCTTAAAACCTCAACTTATAAATCTAAAACCATCTGCATGGCAATTACTTTTTCTTTTTTATCATTTGAGTGAACTGACCCTTGAATCTACCTGGAGAAGCATGCACCTTATCTTCTCAGTTTAGATGAGATAGCAGCCTCTTATTTGACTTTTGAATACATTTTTTGAGATTTTGAGAAACAAACATAGTTTTGGTTCAATGTCTCTAGGTTCTAGGTTTTACATTTTACACTTTGTCTATACAATTATGAGACTGTCTGAACCTTCTTGAATTCACTAATGACTAGAAACAAACCATATAAGTGCAAATAATATTTGGCTCATTTGAAAACTCAAATACAGTACCCATTCAGGTTCGTACTGAGCATGAAACAATTGCTGACACAGTAATTAGTAGTTGATTAGTTGCTCTGTTGAGTGATCTGTACATCAATAAAAATATTGTATCACGTCAGAAGGAAACTTTAACCAACCCCTATTAAATGCATTTAATTAGCCAGATAACGTTGCACAGTTACCGTCAGTCACATGCAGTTTGACAGATAAACTGTCATAAACATCACATGATCTTAAAGAGTGCCTCTCTGTAAGTGTGCCACAGTGTGTATATGCAAAACAAATACACAGACCTCAAATCCCTGTTAGTTTTATATACAAAACACACACTTGCTTATGCCTGGCTGTACGCACACTCCACACATGCTATGGAAAAGTCACACACCTGCCCCACACTGCTACACAGCTGCTACATGCAGTAAAGCAAGTCACACAGTTGGAAGAGAACACACACTCACCTGATACTTAACATTTTCTGTACGTACTTCTGGTACATCTTACTGCTGGTTCACTGAGTAGGAAGGATTTCCTGCTCTTGTGTGTGCATGAATGTGTGTGTATTTGTGTTTGTGTGCCAGTCATAGCAGTACACCTACCTCTTTGTGCAGACATGGGTTCTCTCTCAGCAGCAACACAATGCTCTTTCTATTCTTTGCCCCTGTTCCTCTCTCCTCTCTGTCTCCCCCCTCTCTCACTCTCTCTCTCTTTCTCTCTAGCCCTCTCTTCCTATCTCTCTTCCTCTCTTTCTCTCTCTCTCTCTCTCTCTCTCTCTCTCTCTCTCTCTCTCTCTCTCTCTCTCTCTCTGTTAACACAGCTCTCTGCTCCGTCTAACGTTTTTCAGCACCTCCTTTCACATACACTCGCTTTATTAGGAGAAGCAGAGCTTCCCTCCTCCCTCCTGCTCAGCCCACTCCCCTTCTTCCCAGGCGCCTTTAGCTTTGCCTTCTGTTTACCTCTTTCTCTTCCTCTCTCTCTTTACACCTTTTTCATTCTCTTTGCTGCTGTCACTCTTTCATTCATTGTCCCTGCCTTTGCCCACTTTCTGCATTTCCCTCTTAATCTGTCTCTCTGCCTTAACTCTTCCGCTCTCTTCTACCGGTGTGTTTTTCATCATTTTCCTTCTGCCTGTATTTCTCTTTGTCATTTTCTCTGTCTTGAAAAAGTGGGTCAAACATGAAAGCACTGTTAGATCTGGATGGGAGCTGGAGCTGAAGCTGGAGGGATTTTAGAGAAAAGGCAGCTGGTGAACTCAGTCTCCTGCTTAAATCCCTGATACCTGGTGCCCTCGTTGTAATAGATGTAATCTTAACTCTGTGGAAAGTAAATGGTCCCTTAATGGATCTAGTGAAGTCTTTAACCTCAAATACAGAGCCTGTAAAGTTAACTCTAAGAGGCATTATGTACGATTTCTTCATACAGAGTAGCATGTGAATTCCTGTTTAGACTGATAAAGAAACCTTGAGTGCAGGTCCATGGCACGACACTGCTACCTGTGTGTATGTGTGTGTGTGTGTGTGTGTGTGTGTGCTTGTTACACACTTTTACCAAGGCTAAATAACAAAGCTCTGTCTGTTTTGAGCTGTGGTCACAGGAGGAGTCCAGTTCAAATTGACACACAAGGCTACACTTAACCCACGACAATAAACCACCACTCCTCAGCGCCGATATGTGTATGAGAAAAAATCTGCCACTGTCAGCAGGAAACAGTTAATATATGGGTGTGATCAGTATGCATGCTAATGTGTATAATGCAATCACTACAAGTGGTATCGGGGGAATGCTTTGTTTTGTATTGTTTTTATGGTGAGACCGCAGACAGAGGTATTATTCTGCTTGGACCACTCCCAGTATTTTGTGTAATTATAGAAAAAAAAGCACATATAATGATGACAACATTAATCCTCACTTAATGATATTCTAAATGACATGCAGAATATTTCCTTCAAGATGGCAGTATTGTCAAATTTTTCGCCTTGAATCTGTGAACGCTCCATCAGTCTGTCACTAAATATGAAAATCATCATTAGTCACGGTAAATATCTATCTATCCAGTGGTGTGCACAGTGAGTGGGCAGGAGGGGGGGTTACTGCCTCTGCAGTGCGGAGTCTAAGTACTAGTGTTGTAATTAAGACTACCTAAACCAAAACTAACTTATGACCAAGACCAGGGTGTATTGAGGCCGAGACAAGACCAAGGCAGGGTGAGACTGAGTCTTAAGTCACTGGTCTCAAGACCAGACCAGTGACAGACTGCATGACACACTTACAATAAAATGTGGAACATGCAAACCATAGGCACTCCCTAAATTGATCTGAAAGATCAATGTTCCCATAAAAACATCTATTTTAATGCCATATATATGTACTGTGAGAAATTCAACAAGCAAAAACATAATTTAGGAACAACAGTTCATCACATGTCCTGTGTCCTCAATCTATCACACTGCATAATCTACATCCCTCAATATGTTAGAATTAAGAAGAAATAGAAATGAGATAGCTTGCATATGTAGGTAGGTGACAAATAGCTGACAAGCGAACTAGCGCCCTGAAACATACAGTAGCCTAAGTAACTAATATGTATAGCTAATATCAAAATCTCTTTTGGTGATTTCTGAGGAGTTCTGGTACAAAGGCCGATTGCTAATGTAACTGTTTTGCAGATTAATTCTTTGTGGCTTAGGTAGCAACATTTGGCTGTTATTGGTTGCATTTGAAGCAGGAAGTTTTACATCCAACCACAATAAAAATGTCAACAAATAAATCAGATGAATCACAGGCAATTCAGTGATATCTTCTGAGATGTGGTCTTAAAATAAAAGAGACAAGATGTAATAAAAATGCGGTCGATTCCGAGACATGACCGAGATGTTCAAAAAGTGGATCTCGAGTACGACAACACTGCTAATTACCCCCGTGTACCCCTCTAGTTGGTCCAAGAGTCCTACTGCTCGGTCTAAGTACATCACTAGTGTCTCCTAAGCCCTTCTGATCCTGCTGGTCTGCACAATTGCACCTCTGGTCACTTAAAGGAATAGTTTGACATTTTGGGAAATATGCTTGATCACTTTCTTGCAGAGGGTTAGATGAGAAGATCTATTCCACTCTCATATCTGTACAGTAAATATTATGGTGGGCCGCTAGTTATCTTAGCTTAGCATAAAGACAGACATCATATATCTTATTATTTTAAGTCCTTACCATAAAAGAAAAAGGTTTAAAAAGGTCAAGTTACATTTTATAGCAAGGTTATGTGCCGGGTTATTCTTGCCACATGTAAAACAGCTATTTACAATGCATCTTTACACTTTTGATTTTTTATGGATTAAACATATGAGACATAACCTAGTTTCAGAGGTGTTAGTATGAACCAGGCTGGCTGCCCTCAGTCTTTATGCTAAGCTAAGACAACTGGCATGAGAGTGGTATCGTTCTTCTCATCTAATTCTTGAAAGGAAAGCAAACTATTGTCAAACTATTCCTTTTTGATGCTTTGAACGCTTTGAATAAAAGTACCATTATGTTCCTCTCACAGACCTCATCATAGATCACAGAAAAAATAATCATTGATCACTCCAAATCACTTGCCTCCTTGCTCAGTGCTTTTATGTGTTTTCATGAGACTCAGGAATAATTTCTTAATTTCGTAACATTTGTGTTGGCAAGTACTTGCACCCTTTCATCCTTCAACAAACAGAAAGATAATCCGATTACGATTTGATCAATGTCTACCATATTGAGTTCTTGTGGGCCTTGATGATGTATAAGTTTGTCCGCACTCCTTAGGTTATTTTAGTTATCAGAAATAACATCAACTTGCTGGAACTGTTGCAAGTAGAATTGAAGAAGAGAAGAAGAACTGCCTTGTGTAAGGCCTTTCACAATTTTCATTGTTTCCTCATTTTACAAATGGCCTAATGACACAACATCTAACAGTGCCTCAGAACAATAAGAAGGAGAACTGACAGACAAAGAGGAGAAAGGAACTTAGAGGTCACCAGGCAGGGTTCATGATGTCTGTTGGACCACATATTCCAGCAGCCCTGAAACAGGGCAATCAATAAATCAAACTTTTAATTCTACATCCTCTCTCTCTGAGTGGCGCCCAGTAGGCTTTTAGTTAAAGAGCGGTTGGTTAATGAATTACAACCATAACAACAATATTTCATGTTTAGTGTCTTTAGTTCATCTGAGCTGACCTCTTTGAAAGGAACCCTGTACATAATTCAGTTCATGTATATTGTCACTCTAATAACAGATGTCAGCAAGCTGCATGGTCATGGAATATTCTATTTCCTGTTTTATTAACTAACAGAGGTTTTTTTTTATGTTTTAAACTGAGTAGGCTACCATAAACCCGTCTGTAGCAACAATAGTGCCATCGGTCAAACTCTGGTGGTGGCATTTGCCAATGGTCCATAACAAGCATTTGTATTTCATTTCAAAAACAATAAAATGGTGTTAGATTTTCATAAACTGAAAGATGATGGACCCCCACTGTTTATTACAGACCAGTTAGTGGGGAATGTGGTTTCTTCACACCACCACTTCTTCCACTCAGAAAATAGGGGCAAACCTGAACACAGTTATTTAAAAAGCACATTGAAGGTCATTCTGCGGTGGTTTAAAAGGTTCAGCTTGGTTGAAGAAGTATTGATTGACTTTTACCGTACATACCACTTCTCAAATCAGTCAGGAATGACAATTATACTGCTTGAGTGAGGAGACAGCTGGACTGGGGTGTTCATAAAACATCTTTGCTGTTACTGTGAGTTTTTTTTAAAGCCTTTATGACACATACATCACAGACGCTCACTCCTTTTTTTTCCTAATTCCTCCCTCTGGTCAGAGACCTCTGACTCCGTGGTGACAGACCTCTGCCTCACAGAGTCTTTATCCTGATGCTGTTCGGCTGTTTAACCCAGATGCACAAGGCACTCTCTAGGAGGGACAGTAGGCACTCTGATCATGCATTACCACTGGGGGTAGTTCTTAGAGGAAGTTTGCCAGTAGGGTTTATTTTAGCTCAGTTTTTCTGACAATAAAAAGCAAGATTTAGATCTCAGCTTGGTTGCCAAAGACAACACCATTTACATTGTGGTCTTTTAGATATAATCTGCAAGAATAACATATGGATACGATTGACATGGCAGAAACAATTCATGGGATTATGGCAACAACGAATATTAGCAAGAAAAAGAATAGAACAAAATAACATTAGCAAAAAACACAAATCCAAATTTGACTTTGATGGATAGGCAATGCACTTAACATCAACAGGCAAACTGTCCCATTCTCCTCAGTATCTAAATTGCCACTCATTGTGTGGAATCTAACCAGGCTAAGATCAGCTATGCAATATTTTGGTATGCAGCTTGTTATGCAGCTGTGTCTCTCACTGACATATGTGAAATAATTTGTTATGTAGTTTGAAGCCCTCTTGTTAATTATTTTTGATGTGTTTTGATGCCTTCTTCTTTTATTGGGCTTCATTAAAGCAATTAACTTCATCAACAATGTTAACAAGGCAATACAATATTGAAACAAACTCTGTAATTAG